TGCCATATTAGTGCAGCATATGCCCCATATTAGTGCAGCAGAATAATGCCTGCTCATTATGGGTGAGGCCCATTCTGCTCAGCTTTTTCAAGCAACATTAAAATAAAATTAAATTTTTTTTCTATGGCATGCAATGAGAAAATACAGTTAAGTACAGGATTACACTCCTCAAAATCACCTGTTGGACTTGATGAAGTCAGTATAAGGTTGTCCTGGGTTCAGCAGTAGCAGTCATGTTTCTCCTTCTTGGTAGCTGGTGCAGTGCAGTGTTTTGACTTTCAGCCTGCGAACAGAGCTGATAGCGATGTTTTGGTTTGGCCAAGGACTTTGTGAGCCTCATGCTCTGCCAGGGAGGAAGGGAAGCTGGGAGGAAGCAGAGACCTGACCCAAACTGACCAAAGAGGTATTCCATACCACAGCACGTCATGCCCAGGATGTAACTGGGAGTTAGCCGGAAGGGCTGGGAGACTGCAGGGTTGGAGGAGGTATCGGTCGGTGCTTGGTTGGGGCTGGGGGGGCAAGTTATCGGTCAGCTGGTGGTGAGGTGTTGTATTCTCTTCCCTTGTTATTTCCTTTATCATTATTATCATTGGTGGTAGCAGTAGTGATTTGTGTTATACCTTAGTTACTAAACTGTTCTTATCTCAACCCGTGGGAGTTGCATTCTTTTCGATTCTCCTCTCCGTCCCTCCGGGAGTAGGGGGAGGAAAAGAAGGGGGGAAGTGAGTGAACGAGTTACCTGACTGGGTTTAAACCACGACAAAGGTCTTCAAAGCAACTGCTTTCAACAGGAGTAGATTTATTTCTGTTGAGATTTTATTTGCCATAAAACTGCTTGTACTGTACGTAGAGCAGTAGGAGCAGACATGGCTATGCTCGAGAAAAAATACTGTGTCAGGTGGGCTCCACATTTTGGGCTAGGCACATTTCTTTGGCTTCCTTCTGAGAAGGAACACAACCAAAGTTACGTCCTCTGAAATAATCTGGCTATCAGTACAGCTAGCTTCTTTCCTTGTTTTCCATCAGGTTCCTCAAGCTTTAGATGGAGAGAATCTCATTTATGTGTACACAGTTCTTGGCCTGTAGGTTCAGATGAGCACTGGTTGCTGCCAAGTGTGGAAGTGAGGTTCTTTGGTGTTTGTTTAGAAATGCTATCCCTTGGCAACAGGACAAAACATCCAGTTCACCTTATGGATGATACTGAACAGTGACTACCAACCCTAACAGTTAACCCTGAGCAACTCAGAAGTAAGCATCAATTTATCACATTCAATCATCAATCAATTCACATGGTTTTAATACTACTGTAACATGTATATATATATAATGTGTTTATTCTTACTTTATGTCAGCATATGAGATATTATACTAAGCCACACTGTGGCATGTATACTCTGTTCCATAAAACCTGTCCACTCCTTAGCCTCTTGCCAAATTGCTGCTTATTTTTATTCACCTGAGGCTGTAGAATTTCTGATGCATTATAGGGTTTCTCTTCACACTTACAGAAGAACAATGCCTAGAACAAGGGAAAAAAACATCCCAGTCTCTAACCTTCACATTCTTCCTGAAGGAGCACTGAAACTCAGAATAATTTCATGATTCAAGAAGCTATGTATATGTGCACATATGCACATACACAGAAGAGCTAACAGGTGGATTAATTTCCTTTAAAGACAAATGGCAAAAGGCATCAATCATCTTATGCAACTGCTTTTGCGGCTGTCCACTTTACACACAAATGGGAACATGTTACCATTCCCCATGATGACATACTGAGACGTGGACATAAGCAGGAGCAGTGCTGGATAAAAGCCACTTGGCTCACTTATGAGCCCATGAAACACAGCTGAAACCAGGCAAGGCTCATATCCATCCCTCAGCCTGGCTCTGAACCTGTCAGAGATCCTGCAGTGTTGTGAGAGCTGAAATGACAGGGATGGGGCTGCCTAGCATATTGCAGAGTCTGGTCTTCAGGGAAGTAATTTACCAATTAAGAGAAGAAGAAATTTCCAGCTAATGGACTACGGTGCTGCGGAGATTGCTGATTGCTTGTGGTAGCAATTCGGCTGAGCAGACAGCTACCACAGGTAGAAAAGAGGGCACACTCCTGCTGCAGTGACCCCACTAGATGCAGTGAGTCAGAAGGAAAAGGCTTAAGGAAGGCTTTAAGAGTGGGCTGGATTTCAGCTCTCATCTTGGCAAAGTCAAACCACAAACTTGGCTTAGGAGCACAGGTGACAGAGCTGTTTGTTCTAGAAAATGGAAGACTCAAAATGACCATTTAATAATATATTTTTAAAATACGTGTACCACTAAGAGTGAGAGGAAAACCAGTTTACTTTATTTGCAGGTTATATGCTCAGGAATGTTTCCTAATGCTAAGTCTGATTAAGTACTGAAATGAGTTAAACTGGAAGGCATTGGGATCTTTTTCAGTGAAGATTTAAAAGATGGTCTGAAGTTGCTTATGGAGCATCTTCCAGCTTAGGGAATGTACTATACAAGGTTTCAGACCTCTTCGAGCTCTGCCTTCCTGGGTTTCAGTGCTTAATGTGTCCAGGAGAGTCAGCTAACTCACCCACAGCTGGAGCACAGTGCCGTGAGCAGCCTCTGTGAGGAAGGAAGCTACAACTGAAACAGTGAACTCTTCACCAGTTGGGGTTTTGTAGTTTTCACATAGTTCAGAGACTCAGTTGGAATAGGGAGACTTGGAAAAGCCAGGAAAGGCTTGTCAGCACGGATTATACTCCAGGCAGACAGGAAGGAAAAGGTGCTGTCATTTAAATGACAGAGCCCACTGGTTTCTCCCACCCCATCCCCATGTGTGACTTCAGAAGCTCTGCTTCTGGCTTCCTGTTTCTTTCTGGACCCTTCAAGGCAGGGGCTCCTCTCCGTTTGTGCTGCAGCTTGTATATATAGCAGTATGATGTTAGCTGCGCCCAGGTATTACTCCAGTTCATATATTAATAACTGGTACTAGTAGATGTTTGAGACTTGGCTTGTGCCCACGGACAGGCTGAGTGCCACAGGATGGCAGCCTTGCACCAAGCAGAACTGCAGACACCATCTCCACCGCCCTCTCCCCCTGCTAGGTAAGAAGCTGGGAAAAGAGTCTTTTGAGGAAAACCACAGACTTTGAAGGCTGCCTCCCCTGTGTAGCTACAGCCAGGTACTGAAATCTCACTTCATAGGAACTGTCAGCATGTTCAGCATAAAGCTGAAGCTATCAGTGTTGTTCAAATGCTTTGAGTTTTTCTAGAGCTGAAGCTATACAGCAACGTGAGGCAAACACTGTGCTGAGCTCAAAGACTGGGCTGAACAATTCAATATAAAACAAACCAAACTGGGGGGATGAGTTGGTATGCTCAAGGGCAGGGCTGTCACTCAGAGGGACCTCAGCCCTGCACAAAGGAAAGATGAGCCAGCCTTAATACCTAACATTTTCTTTTGTATTGCTTCTGCCTGATAATATTTTGCAAGAAAAGATTACAGTCTGGTTAAGGAAGATGTGTTATTGGTTTACCCTTTTCTTATGTTTTGGACTGTTGAATGACAATGCTTGTTTTTGAGGATGTCCAGTCAGAGTTGCTCCGAACCTGTTGGTAACAGCTTCTTGCAGTGGAAGTGCATACAGGTGTCAAACCCATGTTCACTCAGTTTCCACAGCTGGGCTACTGGGCTGGCTGCCAGGCAGACCCTCTCTTAAATTACTTGACAAGACCCAACAGCCAAGAAGAAAACTGAAATTACCAGAAATAAAGACATGTTAGGAAAACATGAAGCTAAGGATGGTTTGGAGCAAATGATGGTCTTCCCCTAATAGATGCATCCAAGAAGGCTTAAAGTAGAGTTTATCCTGAAATAAACAGACTTTCTGCTTAGTGGATATAGAGATAAATTCATCACTAACTTATGCAAGACACAAGTAAGGCAAAGTATCTCTTATAGTGTAACATTAACAACAGAGAAGTACTCTAGCAAACAGATCCTGTGTGCTTCTCATGTTTGCCTGATGCACAGCCCATGCATTTCTTACAAAAGAGGGCTCCCCAGAGCACCTCTCTTTCAGGAGCTGAACGGGCATCTTGGGAATTCAGGCTTCTGAATGAACTTCTGATGGGCAGAGAGAAATACTGCTCCTTCAGTTCTGAATAGGGGCAAGAGTGGGCTGAATTCTCTCACACAGAGCTCTTCCAGGAAAAAGTGCAGTCAGAAATCCCATGTTCATAACCCAGACATCTTGCCTGAAATATTGGTAGTACAATCAGTTAGATGTTTTCCTTTATATTTGCATAAGCAATAAGTCTCATAAATGAGTAGGCAGGGCTTCAATCACAGCAGCATTTTAGTGTCTAACTTCCATTGGTTTCAGTGATAATAAAATGCCCAAATCTGAACTGAACTTAAATGACACTAACTCCTGGCCAAATGCCCTTTCTGAGGTAACAGCATCAGTAGTTCCCAAAGAGATCTTGGGCATGTAAAGGCCAGGCACTGTTTTTGATAAAGCAGAAAATATCTTTTCATTTGAATCGCAGCAATTCTTACTTTTTAAGATATTCCTACTGCATTTCCTTGTGAAGCTGCTTATGACTGGCCTGTCCTTACAAACAATCCCCCTGGTTATTCAGGCTAGCCTGGTATCGGAGCTTTCAGTAGGTACTCCTATGGTAACAGCATTGTAAAACATGTTACAAAGATGTTGTTTCCCAGACTGGGTCATAGAGAAGCATCTAGAGAGTTTAAGTTGTGGTTGAGAGCCAGAATGTGCCTCTGCTAAGTTGTGCCTGAAATTTTTGAGTTCCTCTTTCCAGTTGGGCGAGCAGGCTTTCCAACTGGACGTGGGGTTTTGTTGTTCTAAGCCTACACACAAAGTCCCTGGAAAGCGGGCAGGGCAGCATATGTCCCAAGGGGACGGTCACGGAGCTCCCCAAGGGGAGGGCCAGCGCCGTGCTGGGAGGAGAGCACAGCACGCTAGAGGTCCCAACTCCCTGCCTGTGCCGAGGCTGGCCACCGCCCCGTGAACACCAGCTCCCTCTGCCTGGATACATCCCAGCTCCCCTTCTAGAGCAAGCAGGGAGGCTGTCAGTCACCTCTAAGCATTGCCAGGCGAGCCTTTTGTGTAGGACAGCACACCCGACGGCAAGGGAGCAGAGGTTATAGACAGGTAGGGATCCTGCTGCGATGGCATTAAGGATAGGGGCAGACCTTGGACTGCTCTCCAGGTAGTCAGGGGAACGGCATGGGTTGCCAGCCAGCGAAAATATAAACGAACAGCAGCGAGTGGGAGAGCCGGCACTGCCGCCTGCCTCGCAGGCTGACCCTGCTCCCAGCCACAGCCGAGCATCCTTGCCTCAGCAAGCTCGGCCAAGCGGGAAGCCGGGCGGTGACAAACCCATCCACTGGCATCCGGAGAACGAGTAAGTCACTTTGTTTCAGCTCTAAAAAGAGGGGTAAATGACAGAGGAACGTTTAATAACTTGTATTATTAGGAATAAGGCCATTTCTCTTCCAGCACAATCATTTCCTTGCCAGTAATTCTGTCCCAGCAGGTTTTGCATTTGTTTTTTTTTTCACATTTGTTGTTTTGTAATCACGGTGAAGTAACAGATTCTGCAAAGTTTGTCTTTCATATGTTGCAACTGTTTATGCGCTGTATCTGTGTGCCTTAGGTAATAATTAATAGCTCTATGAATAATAACCATGAAGAACAGGGGAATGATTTTGTTCCATTTTGCTAATACTTCTTCAGGCACATCTTTAAAGGTGACAGGAGTGTTGGCAGGAGTTATTCCAGCTGACAGGAGTTGAGTCATTTTATTCAGTTAAAACTGCAGAAGAGCACTGGAATAGGAGGACTGGGTAAAGAGAAGCTAGGACCTGTGCTTAATTATGGCATTTAATTTACCTGTTGTTTAGACTTGTGTTTTATTCTGCCATTTCGTTTATAAAGAAAGCCAGTGATACAGTAAGGACAAAACAAAGGAAATAAACCATCTCTATATAGCTCTGGAGTTGCAATAGCAGTGACAACATCCACTACGCGAGTGAGTGAACATGAGCTGAGATACCAGGAAGTCCTACTCCAGAGTCTCAGTCTCCAGATGCTTAGTGACCATTAACATTTCATGACAGCTTTCTATCATGTACCTTAACCCACACACATTTTTTTTTCTTAATTTAGGATTTGAACAATAGAAAATGAAGTGTTAAAATATGCATTTTATACCATTCTCATTCATGAAGTAAGCATTACGGTTTGGGCTTGGCAAATCTTTAATTTAGTCTAATGCTTAACTTGAACTTTTGTCCAGGTCAGGTTAGAAAGAGAAATAGTAACAAAAAGTTGCAGTCCAGCTTTCTTTCCTAAAGTTCACTCAGTGTAAACACCCTTGCTCCAGGGAGTAGCAGGTTTGACATGAAAATATTAGAATTTTAAAAAGTGGATTTAAAATTAATCTTAGTTCCTCGTGTGTTCAAGTGCTCAGCTTGTGCTGCCAAGGGTAACTCCAGTTTTCAGGCAGTGCTGACCACCCATCCTTGGGACACCTGATTTCCCAGAAGGTGTCCCTTTCTAAGGACAGATGAACAAACAGGGATTTGATTGTGCATACCTTAAAATTGCAAGCCTTACTTGTAATGTGATGTGCTAGTGCATTCATGAGCATACAGATTCACACTTTATACATGTATATGCACTTTTTCTTTTTTTAGTACTCAGACTCTAAATCACAGGAAGCACAATCCCCATAAAACTGTAGCTTACATACATTCAGTGCATTCAGAGTCAGCACTGGTACTGAAGTAAATTGTATTTGCTAAGGCTTCTGTTTTACAAAAAGAAATAAAATGAGCCTAATGGAAAGCAAAAGGCTACATCATTCAATAAGCAAACAAGGAATTTGTTGAAAAGTACTAATCTATCATTTAGAGTAGAAGTAAAATCTTTTTACTATGTATATATAACTGTGTACCCCAGGGTTTCTCTTTAACACAAAGCCAGGACATGATTATGTATTCCTGACACCTTTTGATACAGGACTGTCTCATAAAGATTCAGGACAAGAGTTCAAGCCACCAGTGGCCCCATTATTTGAAAGCTGCAGAAGGCATGGCAGAGAAATATCAGTCAACAGACTGGAATAGCTGCCTGGTTAAACAGTAGCAGGAAGAAACTGTTTTTTCTATAGTGCCTTCCTTCTGAGACTCTTAAAGCACTTCATAACCACTGAATAGAAACCTGGGTCTTGTAGTCATAGGTTGTGCTAGCAGGCAGGATGGAGGCACGGTGCCATACTGGCACTGCTACAAATAAAATTCTGATATTTCATTTCATTAGATCAGATTTATACCATTGGTTTCAACCCAGGTACACAGATGTAATGACAAATGCTGTCTATAGTGCTTGAGTGGGTAAAGCATGTTTGATCTGCTGCTGCTTTGTAAAGCTGAGCACAAGAGTGCTCTCCTCTCAAACTGGTAAAGCTTTATACTGCTTTCTTTTCACTTGTCACTTACGTAAATGCTTGTCCTGGTGCAATTTGAAGGTGAATACCCAGAGCAGTGTGGGTCAGCCTTCCCGGACAGCATGTACTGTGCACATCTCCACGCTGGAATAGCTCCAGGCCTGTTCCAGCAAAGCAAATCCTAACACTCATCCTGGTCCCCTGCTCTTTATTAGGAAAAGTGCAGACTGCACACATGAAGCAGGGCGTGAAAATGAAGGCTGTACACATGCATCCTTTCTCCTCTCTCAAGATTTGGAATAATCAGGCTGTGACCTGCCAAGGCCGTGCTTCATCCAGCATTAGAAGGGAGGTATAACCACTCCCGGTTCTTTGGGAGAACAGGACTTTGCCCTTTTCCTTGCATTTTCTCCTATTAATCTGCCTCCCTGCAGTTACAACCTTCCCCACTGTAACATTTGCCTCTGGTATGGACAGAAGCTTTGCATGGGACAGACAGGCTTTACCATTCTGCGGAGAAGTTTTTAGATGAACTCTCTGTCCCTGAGGCTGTGCTCACCTCAATACCAAAATATCCACAAGGGAACATTTTCGAGGTTCGGTGTGTTTTTAAAGCTCAACACAACAGAACTGCCTATTTTGTCTTGCATTTTTATCACTTCTGTGAAAGAATTTGTTCTGCTACACTTGACAGCATCATGACTACAGCACTGGCTGCTCAGCCTAATGACAGCAGGCCAGGCTTTTGCTGCACAAGCAAATGAAAATACAATTTTCAAGTTATTGACAACAAGAAGGGATCACGCTGCAGCCTGGAAGTCTGTAGAACATCAGTTTTTATCACCAAGTTATTTTCCTGTATTTGTGGAGTAACTAAATAAATATGGTAATTGTTTAAACAGAGATTGAAAACAAAATACTTCTCTCTCTGCCATCAGCCCACTTAACTCCTAAAACTCCCACAGAGGAAAAAGGTCAAATCCAGCATTTTGTTTCCCTCAAGGCCTGAGCCTCCCCAGGGCTTTCTGGTCAGCGGTTCTGCAGGGAAGATTCAGGCTGTGAAGGAACTGACTGCATTTTACATAACTCTTTCTTTACATTTTCCTGTAATCTTGTATTTTAACACCTGTTTAGTTCAGTAGATGTTAAAAGCTATCCTCACCCTTTCTCATGTGCATACCTGTTTGCATACCAGAGACGTTATTACAGTTTACTCTTTCAAATGCTGAAGAAAGTACCCTTTAAAACCTCCAGTTAGTTACAATGAGAACACAGCACAGATACTCACCAGTAGCCCTGTGCAGTCTTCAAAAGCCCCTTCTTCAACAGACATTTTACAGGTTAGACCAACATTAAACATCACCAAAAGAGTACACAGATGAGGTACGCCTGGAGCATGCTTTGCTCCTTAGAGTAACAGGAGCTTGTCTGCACTCCTCCCCCTGCCTTCTTTTTGAGGTTCCAGAGTGGCAGGTGAGTAACTGTACCTATGTCCTTGCTGACACCTTCACTCTGAAATGCAATCTACTTTTTTTTACACATCCCTCCCATACCTGCATAGAAAGAGGAAAAGAAAGAGGCAGTCTTCATAGTTCTAAATGCTTTTGCCGTTGCCCAGCCTTTCATGTTATTTTGATCTAAATTGGGTGGTTTTGGTATTCATTCTGTGTACATTACTCAAGCTGCACAAGATTATATGGATTTAAGCTCCTCTTTGCTTAATACAGCACTTTCACATAGGCACATGTTAACACAAGTGATCAATGACGGGTTTTAATTAGGTTTTTTTCTGAATAAAGAATGGAAGAAAGCACCCTGTGAAGAAATTAATTATATAGGCTTTGGACTTCCATTGAATAGGATTAACTTTCCTTGAGACAGTAGCATTCTCACACAACAGCCAAAGGCTTTTTATTGCTTTTTTGCAATTTTCTTAATACACAGATCTGTAATTAGGAAAAAAAAAAAATTAGTGGAATGATCAAAGCAAATTCAGAAACCTGAAATGGCACTATTACTGAATAATCTTTGAAAATCTCCTTTAGCTATTGAAACTTGTGAAGAAAAAAGGAGCATGGCTGGAATCATGTGCTAGAAAACTTTGGGTATAAAATATAATAAAACAGGGGTTTCAGTGTTGGAAAGAGGATACACATCTAAAAACATGCATGGCTGAAGCAATCAAACTGGAAAAATTTTCTGCTGGTTCCTATGTCTAGTGTGATTTCCACATGAAAAGTCCCCCATTCAGGAAAGAAATGAACAAATAGTTTGCCAGATTTAGATCACTCAAAACTGTTTCAGAAGCAGGCTATTCTTACTGGAAGCAAGCAAAATTTACCCAAAATCATTGGGATTTCTGTTTGCTGCTAGGCAGGGAATGCAGCTTCTCTTCTCCCCTCCCTATTGCAGAGATCCCAGCTCCAAAGCAGTGGCTGCCTTACCCCTCCCCAAGCCAACATTGCAGACTGGAAGGACTCCCAAGGCAGCTGCTGTGATCCAGCTTCTCTCCAGTTTTGCAGGGAAGGAACAACTCATTACTGAACAACAAATATTGGACTGGCTATAAAACACACAAATCAGAAGCCAAAGCAGAAGCAGAATGGGTGGCTCTCCTAGAGAAATGCTGTTCCTCTCTTTTACTTTCTGTCAAGACATGCTTGTAAAGTCATCAAAAAAACTGCCACAGAACATCAGTTCACTTTTTCTGTATGTTCTGCCCTATTAAAGAGCTTCCTGACTTGTTAAGAAAGGCTTCCTACTCCTTCCTCCTCCTCCATTCTTCCATCCCATCTCTGGCCTGCACTTGTCTCTCCTCCACCCAGCCCCTTATCACCATCTTTCCCCCCCCTCTATAGCTGCCTCCTTTGCCCACAGATACCTCCCTATTCCACCATCAAGGCTGCTGCTGCTGTTTCTTCCTCACCCACCTGCATCTGCTGAGTCTGTGCTCTGGGGTTTAGGTACCGTGTCCAGGTACTCCTAGAAATGCTTTACTACAGACTTACTTAGGTGTTAAAGAGCTGGTTAGCTTTCGTGCTTAGAGCTGACCATTATTCCCTGTTCTCCAACTATTCAGCTAAACAGAGCTGGTTATAACAAAAAGTCCTCCAATTTGGGGTGATTCAAGAGCTTCCCCTCAATGTCAACAAAGACTTTTCTAAAGGAATCTACAAGGAAAACTGTTCTGAGGTGTTTTAATGCTCTAACTGGAATCTAGTCACTGAGGAAACAGTGTCAGTTGTTTGGAGGAAAACTGCGTCAACTATCATTACTTCCCATGTAGTGGTGGTACTTTACCACTGCTCAGTGAAGCTGAGTGACTGCTTACTCAGGCATAAGAAAAAGCTGGCATAAGAAAAGACCTGTGGGGCAATACTAGTTTTACTTGCCTCTTGTTTTTTTCCCACTTCTAATTCTAATTAACCCAAGCTGGTATTACTTCTGCTGGCAGTCATCTTGCAGCCTGGCAGATTCTTTTACTCGAAAGTTTAAACAAAACTTTCAGCAATAGCACAAGACTCCTATAGTGAATACCACATTTAGGCTACAGAGACATTCTGTGTTTTAATCAAAATGTACTTACAAGTCAGTTTACTGCAACTGGTTAATGAACAAGTTCAACAATTTCTGGTATCATTCAAAAAGATACAACTTGGAACCATCAAGCCAGCGCAGTTAAGTTTTATCTATGCTTTAGCTCATTTCTTCCTTGCAGGCAGCTCCCTCCACCTCCAAAATTAAAGCCAACCTTTTTCCAAGACTTAACCAGTGCAGACAGCAAAGTAATTCGATTAAGAGACACATAATGAACGTTTTTCTGTAGATAATTAGCAACTTAAGTAAAGGTGCATTGCAGGTGACTTTGACACTTCATGGAGAAACAACCTGCAACATGTATTTCATTGCTTGCATATCACTCACCGAAGCCACCCAGAAACGAAATACTAAGAACTGAGTTTATAGGAATGTTTCTGCATTGCAGGGAGCAGAAGAGGATAGCAAGTATTTCTGGAGATAACATTTCCTGGAATGCCAGTATTTAGAGTTTTGTTTGGATTTTACAGATGGAACCCTAATGCTATCAGCTAAACTTGAAAAGGAATTTTCTTTGGCTGGCTGCAAGATAAGGGAGAACTAAAGGTTCTCTACTCTTCAGGCACTGAAAGAAAGCAAAGGAAACAGGAGTTAAAACTAATGAGGAAGCATCAAAGTATTTTATTCTAATGTTTTTATGACTATTAATTCTTCACATGTTATGTGGAAAAAGCAGTATCACCCCTTTTGATGCATGTGCGAGTTTGAAATGCGGAAGTGTTGGGTCTTCAATTAAAATTTCTTTCCTTTAGTTCAGACTCATATTGTTAACATTACCTAGGAATTCTTCTTGCAAATATTACCTCCACACCAGATAAACCCAAATAATACCACTGAGATGTGTAATAGTGGTGATATTACGGATTTCTGATTTATCAAAACTGTTAGCCATGCTTAATGGCTGAGAAAATAAGCATGGTGTGGAGGTTTAGTAGTAGGATTTTCATGGTGATGCATGATTAGATGCTTAGATACTGGAGGCCAAATTAATCTAGAATTAATGATACCAGAACAGCTACAGCTTGGATGTGTCTGATCTTTGAAGTTAAACATTAGCTAAGAGTCGGACTGGTATTTCTGGTATGTTCCACTACATGGATTAAATATTTAAGCATTAAAATGTCTGTATCCTTCATTTAAGAAAACAACATACCAAATTCAGGGAGTACATACAGAATTAAATCATGTTTGAGTGAGTTTGTTTACATTTACATTACATGGGTCTCGCATAAGAACAATCATAATCTGCCAGACCAAATAGCCATCTGTTGAGCAGCCACCTCTATGTGCAGCTGTAAGCATGTAGGAGAGATTTTCAATAGGACAAGAACAAGTGATACGTACTGCTCTAGCTTTCTTTGCCTCCAACTATTTTGAGCACAGGGTCTTCTGTATGTAGGTGTGGTGCCTATGTACATGATCATCACAGTGGACTTCTCACTGAGCTTAACCAGTCCTGCCTCGAGTTGGTGAAAACCTTCTGCACCCTCAACGTCTTTTGCTAAGGATCTGCAAGTCAGGTGTGACCCTACTGGTTTTATTTGAGATGTCTTGCTCTTGTTCTTGGGACAAGCAGTGAAAAACTGATCTTTCCGCATCATCTCCGTGTTATTTGTGCTTTAATAGATCACCACTACATCCTGCCTCAACCACCTCTTGGCCCACTTAAAGCTCTAACTTATGCAGTCCCACCTTACTTACAGGCATGCCCTTCAATGTCTCATCACTCTTGTTGCTCTTCTCTGAACTCCAGTCCTGTGGTATCTTTTCTGAAATGGTGGGATCTGAACTGCAAACAACAGGCAAGTGTCAGCAAACAAGTGATTTATGCAGTAGTTCAACAGCACCATCTTTTTTTCTCCCATCATTTTCCTATTACCTCTTGATAACTTGATTACTTTTTGAAGCTGTTAAGCAGTGAGATGATGTTTTGCTGTAACTACCTATCACAAGCTAAAGATCTCATTCCTGGAAAGGATTCGGTGGCAATGTCTGGCCCAAAGTCTACCATTGCTTATGTGCAGATTTTTCTCGCATGTGCATATAACTTTCGCTTTTCTTCCTTATTCCAAGGATGGCAAGGCTCTGGTCATTTACAAGCCATCACAGTTTATACAGATACACTCACAGAAGACTTCAAAGAAAAAAGGTAGACTAGAGGACTATACCCTCTCTAAGTAAGAAATGTGGAAAGTAGGATACAAACTATTCTGTCATGATGCAGTTTTGTGTTTTTTTTTAAATTTAGTATTAGTCAAAAGACACTCTCACTTGAATTTTCATCAGGAACTGAGCTTAAAACATTAAGATCTAAATCACATACCTGGTAAACTACCATGCATACAATAGTGCTAATGACCAAGAGAACTTCAGTGTGCTCCTAAAGACACTCTCCTTTAAGTGTCTCTTAAATGACCATGAAGTTTATAGCAGAAGATTCCATTGTGTAATGACGGGAGATTGAATAACAGACAAAACCAATTTCTGTTTTTATTCTAAATGCTATTATTGTCCTGTTTGTCTGGTATGTTTCTCCAAAACTGCAGGTGTATTGCCATGTTTTCTGAGGTGAGGAGATATGCATTCTGTACATGGACCAATTTTTTCACATGCTAAGGACTAAATTCTGCTTACTGCATGCCCTTACTGCTACCTTCACTAGGACTTGACAACTTTGGTAGGAATTTGACACTAATGTCTCTTGGTGCTTCAAAACAGTTACAGTCAAATCAGACAAACTTTCCAACATGTTACACTTTATATAGTTTAACCACCCTTTCTTTCTTTCTTTCCCTTTGCCTAGCATATCCCACACTCAGTTTAAAGGGAAGGTTGGCACAGCCCTTACTTAGCAATTCAGGTGTAAAACAAAAAACACGTCTTTAGTCCCCCTCAGACTGCCTCATTTGGTGAAGTGGAGAACAGGATCATTTGCCACCTCTATCTGCTGTTGGGAAGCAGACAAAGAGAAAGCAGAAAGGAGAAATGAGGAAGAGGAGTCCTGCTCTTACATTCACATGGGGCAGGCTTAGGAGGTGCCTGGATAGAGAAGACGGTGTCCAAGCTGCCCTATAAGCATATGAAACTATTTAGAGCAAAAGAAGAGTGAAGGAAGAATCCCAAACATGAGTCACAATTTTTCTGAATCAGTGTATCTATGCTTCCCCTCTAATGCAGGGCAACCTGCAAAACTGCAATATGGTTCTGAACAGATGAGATAGTGAGTAAGTGTGAAAAGCAAAGTGATATTAACCGTTGAGTGGTCTTCAGTATAATAAAGACATTGTTTTTCTTCAGTAGGTAAAGCCAAGTGGTATAAATCACTGAGTAAGAGGAGACACTTGGCAACCTGGCACCAGTACTAATGAAGCCAATAGCCTTCTCTGCTCTCTCCTTTTGGCTGGCTCTCCTTTTGGCTGGCTTCCTTGGCATACGCATCACAGGCAGTTTTGTGAGAAGTCAGAAGAACCATACGCTAATTTTCACCAAGGAAAACACAATTCGCAACTGCAGCTGCTCGGTGGATATCCATGACTGCGACTACTGCCTGGCAAACTTGATGTGCAATTGCAAAACAGTGCTGCCTTCTACCATGGAAAAAACTACCTACAAGAGCCACCTCACCATTTGGTTCACAGACACCTCTGTGCTGGAGATGCTTCTCAACTTCACAAGGGTGTGGGATTTGAAGCTGTCCTTCTGTGGCACCACTCCTCTCCCAACGGAATACTTGGCCATTTGGGGACTTCGAAAGTTGCGGGTAAAAAAGGTCAAGGGACTGTTTCCAGAGCAGAGTGTAACCATCTACAGCAGCAGCAACAATGAAAAAGAAAACTCACTCGCAATGCACAACAAAGACAGGCAAATGCTTGCACATATTTCTTTTCTGGATACCTCTCTTTTCAATGGCTATTCTTTGCTGAAGTCATACAGTGTGGAAAACGTCTCTAGTATCATGGAACACTTTCCCAGCCTGCTGTACTCTGATGTTTCCTCAACCTCAGATAACAAGAGCTATATTGTAACATTCATCTACTGAGTTATTTGACATATTCAGTAGTCAGAGGCATGTTAGACTGCTAAGAGACTGACAAGACTTCTTTAAGTCTGTCTCGTTTGGCCAGGAGGAGCTGTTAGGCGATGAACAGTTCTGTGATAGCACTCTACAAGGAGGTGTTTTAAGACAGACAGACTCAGACTGATTCAGTAAATGCCTTCTTAAAGAACAAAGAAAATGTGAAATGACTGTTTTAGAAAGCATTGATACAAATTCTTTCTATATATTGTACGCTAAGAATTGATATCTACAGACAAGTTTTGTTCTAAGGTTGCACCTCAGACAGAAAAAGACATAACCATGTTATCTCCAGTTGTAAAGGAACCTGAGCCTCCCAGAGAGTCACTGCGGTTAGCTGGCAGCTCAGGAGGTGTCCAGTGCAACCACCTGCCCCAAGGAGAGCCAACTCTGGGATCAGGCTTCTCAGGGGGTTCTGCAGTCAGGTGCCAAAACCCAAGGATGGAGCCTGCACAACCTCATTGGGCAACCTGCTCCACTGCCTGCCTGTCCTCTTGGGGAAACTTTTTTCCATGGATGGACCCCAGCCTCCTCTTCTTCAGGCTGAACAAGCCCAGATCCCTCACACTGTTCTCAATGTCACATGCACCAGCCACGGACTGACCATCTTGATGCCTCTCCACCGGACTGCTTCGGTTGATCCATATCTTTCTTGCACTGGGAGGGGCAGAACTGCCTGCAGTACTCTGTATGGAGTCTAGTAAGTGCTGGGACAAGGAAAATAATCCCTTCCTTCCACCTACTGGCCATGCACCTGTTGATACAGCCCACTGCTGGCAGGTTCAATGTGTGTGAGGTGGTTACAGGTTACTCAAACTAGGAGTGCAGAGGTGTCCTTACCCTCTGGTACTTGGTCAGAGCTGGGAAGCCTCTACTGGGGCTGTGTGACACAGCCTCTTGTGAAAGCAGGGACAGGCTATGCAGACACCCTCCAACCTCAGCACCCAGTAAAGGCATGTTTAGAGGATGACCAGGAAGCTGTGTTCTTTGCCAAGCCATGGCAAAGCATGGGAAAGCACTGGGCAGGAGGCCACCTGACAGGTGAGACACCATGCTCACAAAGGTGTTCCCAGGGAAATGCCTGTCCCTTGCACATGAAGTGTGCTGACACCTGCAATTTCCCCCCCAAATGCCAGGAGCTTGACTTCACCTTCTTTGATAATGGCAAGCTCTGTCAATGTTCTCCTCTACAAGAAAGCAGAAAAATCCCATTCAATAACTTGTCTGATAAGGGAGGCGAGGCTTCTGGCAGACATGTAGCAAACAATTTTTAGATGCATTGAGGGAAACATATGCTGGGACTATTGATGTAGCACACAGTCTGCTCCTTGCCCATTTCTGCAGCATTTGCATTCTGTGAGGTACAAATAAGACCAGGAACCATCCATACAGTACAATACAGGCCTTGGAATACTAAGTCCTAACAGTCTGTCATTGCCAGCAAAGAATTACATGAAATTGTGATAAAATATGTGTACTGAAGGGAATGGCTATCAAGATTTTGAGGAACCAATGAGGTTGCTTCAACAACTTTAAAGAGGGACTTCTTTTGTAACTGCAATCAATGTCACAGCAGTTTCGCCAGGAAGCAAAACTTAATCTTCCAGAACACTTAAATACATGCACACCTTCCATGACTGTGAGTTCTCCCACTCAACTCAACCATGTGGTAACTACTGAATTAACGGAGTTTATTTGCAACTGCAAATTAACAGATTTAAGCACATGAGTGTTTGAAGGCTGAAGATTGAACTCGGTTTAACTCAACCAGACAACTATTAAATCAGCTGTTGTAAAGGCCTTATTTCCTTTGTCAGCACCTGGGCAACAAATTGCAAGCCTTCTTCCCACATCATAAATATTTCTGGTGATACCTCTCACAACTGTCATGACAGGAGCAGGAGCTGGGCTGACAGAGATTGGTGACAGTGGGGTGGTGGTGTTCTAGGCACGTTACATGCCTGGAATGTAATACAGACACAGGCAAACCATTCTTACTGTCTCCCCCAGGCATCCCATGCTCCAAGTGCCTCCAAGAACACTAACCTTGCCTTCACAAACTGGCTAGTCACTAATCGTGCACAGAATACTATTGTAAATAAAAACCAGAGCTGGCACACACAAGTTACTGATTTCTGAATATTGTCAACGCTCTCATCAAACCTAAATGAGCTTCAGCGAATTCACTGAGGCTCTGCTGCCCTCTAGTAAACAATGTGCTGAATAGCACAGTACTTTCACATTGCTCTGACAGCAGTCTGGCTGCTGCTACTGTGCAAAATTCACACCTGCACTAGTAAATGAGAATGTTGGGAAGAAACCTTATGATTAATAATTCCATGGGCTTTTAAACACTGCAAACTACAGTTTTTTAGTTTTGCCACTGTAGTGTTGTGAGTAAAACTGACGCAGAAGACCTTTTACTCCTGTGTCCAATTAAGCACTGCAGAGATTTTGCTGCAATCAGGAAAAAAATCCTCCTCTCAACTACATGTGCAGCAGAAAACCACAGCACCAATGCTGCAGTGATCTTTTCAACTCCCCTGTTCGTATAAAACATATCTTAGACTCACAGAATTGTAGAATGGTTTGGGGTGGAAGGACGCTTAAAGATCATCTTGTTCCAAACCCCCTGCCATGGTCAGGGACACCTTCCACTAGACCAGGTTGCCCCAAGCCCCGTATAACCTGACCTTGAACGCTGCCAGGCTGCCACATCTTCTCTGGGCAACCTGTTCCACAATTGTTGTGAATGTTACTAGCTCTGTTGGCACAGGTTTCTTTTACCTGCCTGTGAACTACATACAGTGGTACATTAAGCATCACTCTGCAGAAACAATTACGTGATTTTGTGAATCTGTTTTAAATCCCAGTGTAAGATACTCACACTTAACACTGTAGAGCATTTGATTATATATTTATAGCAGTTAATATTTATATACACAAAGGTTTCATTCTCCATGTATGGAAGTTCAACCTGTACCTATTTCTCAGCCTTTAACAATTACTCGATATGCCAATCAATGGAAACTGAGGGGGAGGGGGGTTGTATCAGAAAGAAAAAAAAATGGAGATAGCAGTTGTAAATTTAGTTTTCCTTCCTACCAGTAATTCTGGTGTGACTTTGGGGAGTCAGAACAGATTGAGAACAGCACAAGTGATGTGATTAGATATTAGGAAGAAACTCCCCCCTATGAGGGTGGTGAGGCACTGTCACAGGTTGCCCACAGAAGCTGTGGCTGCTCCATCCCTGGCAGTGTACAAGGCCAGGCTGGATGGGGCTTGGAGCAACCTGGTATGGTGGAAGGTGTCCCTGCCCGTGGCACAGGGTTGGAACTGGATGAGCTTTAACGTCCCTCCAACCCAAACCATTCTGTGATTTTTATTCCCATGGGAGATTTCGCTGTGCAGCCACAGTGAGAGGATGCAGGACACCAGCCAGCCCCCGGCATCTTCTCCTAGGCAGACCTCCAGCCGGCTGGCAGGGATTGGGGGGATGCTGCAGCATAGTCTGTGCCTCCTGGTGTGGTGGGAAGGCTGAAGAGTCCCTCCAGGTCCCAGCACTTGTACTTGGGGAGGCTGCCTTTAAAATACCACCGATTTTCTGCCATCTTCCACCAAGCTCGTATCTTTTCTTCTAGCCAACAGTGGCCACTGAGACCGGTTCGACCAACTTCTGATGCTGTCCCCAGCACAGGCGAACCGAACTCAAACAGCCCAACACATGAAAGACTCTACTATTCAGAACTGGTGACGAGCCCACATTGTTTCGCCCGTCCCGGCCAGAAGCCACGATCTCCTCAGGAAGAGCAGGGGCCGTCCCGCACAACCCGTGCAAGAGCCGAGGGCCGAGACCCGGCTGAGGCGAGCACCCCGCCCGCCGCGGATACAGCGAGGGATAGGTGCTGCACGATTTCTCCGGATGGCCGCCGCCATCCACAGGCTGGTTGCGGACAACGTGCCCACACAGGGGGGGACGAGGAGGCCGAGGCTCGGCGTCCCCTTGCCCGGGGAACACCCTGTGCCTTAACCGGGAAGCATCAGCCACGATGCCTCCCACCTCCGCCATGGCGCAACCCCCACGGAACGCCTCTGGCTGGTGTCACAACATGGCGGCAGCACCGGCACCCGGAAAGCAAGGGGAAGGAGTGGCGAACAGCGAGGCGGGTTGCTCTAGCCAGACTCTCTACGCTCCCAGCCGTGCACACTCTATCCGCCGACCTCGGTGCCTCTCTATGGTCGGGAGGCCGCTTCCCGTTGGCAGGCTGGCGGCGGCGGGCAGCGGCCGGTAGGGGACGCTGTGGCCGCCCTTGAGGCTGCTATCATGCTCGGAGAGCCGGGCCTGGGCCGCGGCGCGGGGTGGCGGGAGCGAGCGGCGTCGGAGCGGTGCGGTGCAGTGCAGTGCAGGGGGGTCGGTATCTGGCGGGATGTTCCGCAAGGCGCGGAGAGTGAACGTGCGGAAACGGAACGAGTCGGAGGACGAGGATGAGGAGCGCGACGAGGAGCCGTCTCAGGAACCGGCGCCGGCGGCCGGGGTGGTAGAGGAAGGAGCCGGCGAGGCCTCCATGGCGCTGGCGGCGGGCCCCGGGCTCCTGCCGCTGCCCGCCGGCTGCGTGCCCCTCGCCTTGCCCGGCAGCCCCGCGGCCTTCGCCTGCGCCGCCAGCTACGGTGCGGCTCTGGGCTTGGGGCTGAGCCTGGCGGGAGGCGATAGGGCAAGCCTGGGGGCTCTGTCGGCGTCCGCCTTCCTGCCCCCCCCGCCGCCGCCACCGCCGCAGCAACAGCAGGGCAACGGGCTGCCGGGGCCTGGGCGTCCCAAGGAGAAGAAGCGGACGCGGGAGAACAAAGAGGTCCCTCGGGCCAGCCTGCTCAGCTTCCAGGATGAGGAGGAGGGTGAGGCGAAACGGCTGCCCGCCTTTTGGGGCTGGAAGGGGCCCGGGCAGCCTGCACCACCCCGCGGGAGAGCGGGCCTCTTGGTTTATGTATTTGTAAGGCAGTGGGGCTGCCCCGTGTGGGATGGGGGCGATGCGGGTGCACCGGAGGGGTAGAGCCCTGGAGGACGCGGTGAGGAGGGGCAGGGAGCATCGGCAGTCGCCTTCGGCCCCGAGCGCGACCCGGCTCCTGCGGGGCCAGCGTGCTCCCAGCACCGGGGTGGTGTCCCCGAGTGTTTAATTCCGGTTTAGTGGGGCAGATTGTCCCTGCTTCGGTGTTGCCGGTTCGTGCCTGTTGCACCTGTGTGGCTTTACCTGGGTTTGTGTAGTACGCTGTACAGGGCCCATCGCTTGTGCAGCCCTCCTCGTCCGCCGCAGAACCGGCAGTGCTGGCTGGGGCATCTTTCTGGCAGCTTGGTGTCGAGTTTGTTTTCATCTGGTGTGCTGGTGTTCACAGGTTGGACTGCCTGTTGTCTTAGCAAACTTCATGTGAAGCCACCGGTGGTTTGTTGCAGTTAGTTGTGAAGCTGCCAACGAGGTTTTGTTAGGTTAACCTTCACAAATGGTGGAAGAAGTGGCTGAGCAGTTTCTGAACCAAAGCTTTTGTAAAAATAACATAATTGTCCAGTGCTTTAGCTAATAATTTTGCTGGGTTCCAGCAGGTACCATACTCATGAATTGGTCTATTCACACTCAGTCTGACTATGGATAATGGTTACTACATATTGAAAATTATCAAAAAACACTCCTCAAACTCCAGAGTTTGTGGCATCCCAGAAGTTCGGGATGAATAAAATGAGGAACATATTTTTCTTACACCTTTTGTCAGCAGGAGAGTTAATATGCATTTTGAAGTTTCTTAGAAGGAATTGTATTGTAATCATTGGGACATGGATTTTAAGACTGGTGGTTTGAAATCGTGACAGAAATACTGGAAACATGGAATCACACTATAGACTTAAAAACACCCAAACACTTGTGGGTTTCCTACATTAAACTTTGATTGATTTCTTTATTTTATTTTTTTTTCCCTGTGCTATTTAGTTCTTAAACTTACTGCATACCTTTTGGTAGGTTGTAGTGCTGCAGACATTTGAACTGGTAGTACAGCCAACACCAGCCATTCCCTTACTCATTATTTGTGCATATGTGTGGCTATGAAAAGACTTGACCCAAAATATTGTGGCTTCATGTTGTTTTCTTCCAAAACGCATGGTAACAGTGAAGGATCAGCTGGGTTTTGGTTTTAAAAAGAAGGTTTCTACAGTTAGATAAAAGCAGGCCATGTATGTACCCTGTTGTGTAACTTCTGCCTTATTTTCTGTATCTGTGCTGTGAGTGGGATGCATACACATGAAAATGACCACAAAAAAATTGGGGTAGACATGAGTCCACATGAAAGGATATCGGACTGGTTTTGTTGCAACAGTACAAATACAACGTCACCTTAAATTATGTTGTTAGTGGCATTTACTAAGTTCTGGGTGCAAAATTAACAGATTTAATAGGTAAGTATACTTCTTGGCAGGTCTAATGTAATGTTTTCCAACTTCTCTTTTAAAGAAACTGAAGAAGTTTTTAAAGTGAAGAAGTCAAGTTACAGCAAAAAGATTGTGAAACAATTGAAGAAAGAATACAAAGAAGATCTTGAAAAATCAAAAGTTAGAACAGAGGTCAATTCTCCAACAGATGGTAACTGCAAAGCTGACAGTACCTTTTGTAATGGAAAAGATTAAGTCCTGTAGACGCAAATTACTTGTTTTCAGGATGAATTGTTAGTTTTCTAGAGGATTTAGCATTTAGAACTGAGGCAAGCATTAAGTGTGTTCATTTAAACCTTACAAATGCTGTAGAGTTCATATGGAAATGAATGTAGAAGGATGAAACTTGTCAGCTACTTACACAATTGCCAGTAGACTGCAGTACTTTCTGTATTGCAGCTCTGTTTACGTCAGATAAATTTCTCCCTATGGAATTAGGAAGGAATTAGTGTAGAAGTGTGTCTGTTGTTTATCTGCTGGGAAATGTCCTTGTAACACATCTGAAATAGGAAGATTTTGGGGTGAGCAAGAGTGGTCTTTGTTACTGAGTAAATAAGAAGTCCTCAACAGCTGCCTGTTTGAGGACTTGGACCTTAGAGCAGACTTGCTGATTAAAATGACAGGATGAAAATTTTGGAGCAGAAGGATCTTTTAACAATGTACAGTCCTCCAGAGCTTGGAATAGAGCCTGGGATTTAAATTCCATTGTACTTCTGTTACTGTTTTTTGGGAAGCTCATTGGTAAAGTGTAGCGATTCCTTTTACAGTTTTGATTGTTGTTGTTTTTTTTTGTGTAGAGTAATAACCTACAACACTATGAGAACGAGCTGAGGGGCTTATGATCTAATGATAGCAATGGTATAGCTGAAGCATGTGAGATTAGGGCATGGTCCCATGCAGAAAATTGCCCTTTTTTAAGTAATCTTAAATATTTTTAAAAGGCTTTGTTTGCATTTAAGAAACCCACTGGTTCTTTTTTATTGGAATCTTTAAGTTGCCTATGCAGTGGTGTGGGGCATGAGCCAAACCAGAAATGATTTCTCTGGCTAATGTTCAGGTGATCTGTGAAAACTTGTATCTTAATTCTGGCTTCTGTCACAAAGATCCTTCATTTTGCACACAGCTAGTGCGTGCTTGTTTTCTGTTTGTCTGTCTTGCAGTCTCAGTAGTTGGTTTGGTTATAGTGCAAAAATCTCATGGCTGCTACTGAGTCAGTAGTCTGGATTCTCTAAGCAGATGCTAACGTCCGCAAACTAGCTATGTGCACCTGGATTTCTCATGCATTTTTTTACTTAATATTTATACCTGCTGCCTGTGTCTGCATGTTACCCACCTAATGCTGGTTAATGTTGCACCCAGCCCAAGAGGAAAATGAAAGGGTTCTTTTGGAATGAGTCTCTTCGTGTGGAAAGATTTGGTGTAACACAGGCAATGCTTTCTAATTACATACGTAAGAGACTGTGTGAAGGTTGCACGTATAATCTTAATTACTGAGTTCCCTCACTTTTTTCAATACTTGGCAATATTGAGAATATTTAGTGGTTGATGAGGCGTGTGCTTTGTCAAGTTTTATTTTGAGAGGATGTCAGTGACTTAGTCACAGGTAAGAGGTCATATTTTACTAGATCTAGAACAATGAAATTATCATTTAACATTTTCATTTATTGGTTTGTGGGGTTTTTTGTTTGTTTGTTTTTTGTTTGTTTGGAGGGTTTTTTTTACTTTTGGCTTTTATGCCTTAAAAAAAAAATCAAAACACTAACTTTTGAGTGATCTTTATAAAAAGAGTAAAACATGGGCTTTGTTGTCTTACCAGTAGAACCACCACTAGAAAAGACAGGACAGATTAAGGATATAGGTCAAGAAGATGGGACTGCAAACAGCGAGCATGGTGAAGAAGAAATGGAAGTTGAAAGTGAGAAGGAAGAAGAAAAACCCAAAGCTGGTGGGGCTTTTTCCAGTGCTCTGTCGTCATTGAATGTTCTCCGCCCAGGTTGGTTTTGTAGTATGTCTAATATATTAACAAAATCTTTAGCCAACTTTTACAGCAGACTAACTTGTGAGATTAGGAAATACTTTCCAGCAGTATATCAAGCATCTGGGAATTCAGGAAACTGCTGTTTTCCAAACCTGTTCAACTTTACAAGCCTTATTAAGAGAAAATGTTTTACTACAGAATGTTTCATCGTAATGTCAAGATTTTTGTCTGAGTGATGACAAACTAAGAAAATCTGGATTGGAAGAGGCGACTTACCATGAATTTTAACTGCTGTCTATTAAGATTCTGTCTTTAATTCGAATGTATCGGTTACAGGTCTGCAATGTATCTCAGGAGGTTCTAGGTCAGGCATTGAGGCCAAAGAAATCAGTCTGAGAAAGTATTTTTGAAACTGGTTTACAAACTGTTAGCTCACTCATGGTAGCCTGCTCTCCACAGCCTTGGCCATGTTTCAAGAGAAAAAGGATTTTCTAGTTGACTACCAAATAACTTTTCCTTTTAGGGGTAATTGCAAACTAGTGGCATAGGTACATTATTGCATCTCTAAAGATAATGCTTGCTTGGATAGAGTATCTCGTGCAAGTATAAAGAGAACCTGAAATTTAACTGGTTTTGCATGCTTAATCAAAGTAGTGGTAAAAATTGTTTGAAAAAAATTGATTTTGGGGGACTTCTTTATATGATGTATGTAAGTTGGATTAATTTTGTGCTAGAGATTTCAAATATTTTTTTATTATGTCTGCTTTTCTTGTTTTTCCTCAATTGTGCAATCTCTCATATTAGCTTTGTCCAGTCTGGTGTCCTCTTAATCTGTGAGCTGTTATCGCCTGCTGAAATGGCTGATGGTTTTTGTTCATGCAAAATAAAAACAGGAGCGATATCAGGGCAGGAAGTGACCCAGTAAAGAATGTAATTTTCTTCCTCCCTTTGCAATAGTCAGCTCATGTAAAGGACGTCCTCTTCTTTGGGAATATTTCCCACAGGAACATCAAGCTCCTGCTGTTACGGCATGTGAGCTGCTGGAAGCAGAGCTGGACTTCTTGGGTATATCCCAGCTTTGAAGGTTTCTGTTCAGAAAGTTTGCATATGCAGCTTATAAGTTGCTTGCAAATGTTTCTGTGAGTATGGATTTTTGTTCTTGTCACATTTTTTTCTATTTACAAAGTTAATTTGTTAGGGTGGCAGAGATTAATAAGAAGTTTTTGTTGCAACGGTTGTTTAATGGTGCAAACATCTATCTCTAGGAGAAATTCCAGATGCTGCTTTTATTCATGCCGCTAGGAAAAAGCGTCAAATGGCTCGTGAACTTGGAGACTTTACCCCCGTTGACAGTGAACCAGGTAAAGGCCGCCTTGTTCGAGAAGATGAAAATGATGCCAGTGATGATGAAGATGATGACGAGAAGAGGAGGATAGTTTTTACAGTGAAGGAAAAATCCCAAAGGCAAAAGATTGCTGAGGAAATAGGTAAAACCTTTTAAGAAGGACAGCTGATAACCTTTCATATTGTTTCACTGCAAGTGCTCCCATTCAACATTTTTGAACAGCATTTTTTTCAGATGGGCATGAATCTGGAGTTGTATTCTGTTTCTAAGGAAAAGTACTGCATAATGGAATCTAAGTATAAAATTTTGAGCACAAACTGTATTTCTGTGCTTACAAGCACAGACTCCTCTGAAGCTGGTAGAAACTTAGACTAAGAATCAGTTAGTATTGTTCCTGTACTTTGTTTTTTAGGAAGTATATAGTTGGAAAAGAAAAACATTAGTTCTTTGGTGTAGCATTCTTTTTGCTGACAAGCAGGTAGAATAACTCTGGAAAAGAACAATTAGTGAGATACAAAGGATTTTAACATTAGAGGATTTTACCAGCAGTTAGTTGCAAATTTACCCATTGGATTTTTTAAGTGGAACATCTGTGATAATAATTCACAGGCTAGTGTCCTTAATTCCTCGTGAAGAGGAAAGGAAGATGCTCTGGGATGTTCCCACTGAAGCATGGTCTCTCAAGGTTTTGAACTCATGGCCCTTACTATTATCTTCTCGTTTTTGTTACCTGTCTGTTATACTCGTATTAAGGTATTGAAGGAAGTGATGACGAAGCGTTGGTGGCAGGGGAGCAAGATGAAGAACTCAGTAGATGGGAGCAAGAACAGATACGGAAAGGCATCAACATACCTCAGGCATGTATTCAGTTGTGAACTCTTTTTGGTTTGTTTCTGCATATTTTGGCTAAATCCATTACAAGCTTCAGCAATTTACAGAAGGCTGTTTCATCTGAGAAGTTCATATGTAACTTCTGATATTCTTCAAAGAGAAGAGGTCAGATTTAAGTATCCAGTGGTATCAGTTTCATTAGTGTCTCTGTTCTGGGTAGATACTGATTGATTGTGGTGCTGTTAACAGGCATTTATTTGCAGCTAGACAGAGCTAGAATAATGCCACTTTGAAGACACCTCTGTTCTTGTTTATCATTGGGTTCATAGAGTCTGTGTAAACAGTGTGTGTTTCTTTGTTTCTGTATTCTGCATTGCAGCATAGAGTTGGAATTAGTAGCAGGTTGCACCATATGTTGCCTGCACACTCATAATGAAGTTGCCACTCAGTTTAAGAGGATAGTTGTCTTTTAAAACAAACAACAACAAAACCCATCACCCCACATTTCTGCAAAATCACAACGAAAACACTGATTGTAAGAACTTGTGTCATTCTGTTAAATAGCCACAGCAAAGTTGAGTATAGTCCCAAACACTTGGTTATTCTTGGATTTATAGGCTGGTTAAAATCGTTATTTCATATGATAATGATACTAAGGTACTTAAATGTGTCCATTTAAGAAGGTGCATCTGAGTGAATTTGTTTCTGTTGGAAGTTCTACACTTGATAATTAAATTTTGTAAAAGTACCTGCCTACATTTCTTGCTTTATAACTTATGTGTGAAAGGAAGTTTCTCTTTTCTTTAAAATCTAATAGAGTACAATTTTATTTTCTCTTTCATTAGGTTCAACCAAGTCAGCCTGCTGAAGTGAATAATCTGTACTACCAGAACACTTACCAGACACTGTCTTATGGTTCATCCTATGGCGTTCCATACACTTACACTGCGTATGGATCATCGGAAACCAAGTCTCAAAAAACAGATAATACAGTTCCTTTCAAAACTCCCAGTAATGAGATGACTCCTGTTACTATTGATTTGGTAAAGAAACAGCTTAAAGACAGGTAGGACAGACCATCTTTTTAGACTTAAAGACTTGTCCCCTAGCTTTCTGTTCCTCGGGTGTCTTTTAGTCTCGGTGAGCAAACACAGAGTTTCATCGCTGGAAAAGTACTGACTGGCACATCCATTAAAAAAAAAAGGCAAACAAAAAAAGCTCAAAGTGAAGATGACATTGATATTTTGTTCGAAAATCTCCTTGGATTGCTTCTATGGAAGTGAAGCTTTAAATATGAGGCCATTGATCTTGTTGAAGACAGGTCTGAGTTGCATCTTCTGGACACTGGACAGGCTTATAGTCAAGAATGGAAAGGCCAGTGAGGTGTTTAGCTTGTCAAGTTGTATTCCTTTAAACTGTGAATCAGGTTTTTCCCGTTCAGGAGACAGTTATAGTGTATACAGGGGTTTTCTTTTTAGTTTAAACACTCTAATCTGCTTGTGAGGTACGGAAAAGATCCTACTAAGTGAACAACCCAGTTGCAGTGAGAAATCATTTATAATCAACAGCTTGCACTTTACATGTCTTCAAAATTGGTTTGTATGCCTCTTGTAGTGTTAGAGCCTTTGACAGTGCATCAAGTTAGTAGGGGAATAACTCTGTTTTGTGTAAGCAATAGTTCTCCCACCACCACCGCCCCAAACCTTCCTTCCCAGTTGTACTTTTGGGCCAGCCTTGTACTATTCTACCCATCCTGTAAAAAGCTGTGGTAGTGGGCAGTGCAAGGCACTCAGCATAGTCTAGCAAATTAATTTAAACCATTAGCCTTGCTGTTTATTTAGACAGGAGAGAAAGCAACAAATGGAAGTTAGGGAATATGTCTTTGCAGTATTTCCCATATATAGTGCTTGGCCCTTGCACTGTCTGTTTAATATCTCAATGGTCTGAAATAATACAGACTTTTGGATGTAAATTTGCTATTTATCCATTGCCCTTCAGGTTGGACTCTATGAAAGAATTGCACAAAGCTAATCGACAGCAATATGAGAAACACCAGCAAAGCCGAGAGGACTCTACCAAGGCAATTGAAAGATTAGAAGGGTCTTCTGGGGGTATTGGTGAACAGTATAAGTTTTTGCAAGAAATGCGAGGGTATGTCCAAGACTTGCTTGAGTGTTTCAGTGAAAAGGTAAGGATGAAAAAACATTCATCTTTTTTCAAAAAAAAAAAAAAAAGAGAAAAAAAGGGGATTCTTAGTACATGCCAAACACCATCTCCTTCTGTTTGCGAAAAATGTTCCCTGAGAACATGTTCTTCTAAAGGTTTGGTTATTTGAGGGTTGAAAAGATAAATTTTCATCATGCCAAACTTGTGATCAGGAGCCAATCTTTCACAGTGTAAGAGGTTGCTGACTTTAGATTGCCTAAAACAAGCTTTAGATTGTATGTCATTAGAATTTTGGTAGATATTGCGGCATTTCAGCTTTACTCAAGATGCTGTTTTTTACTTGTGTTGAATATCAGGTTAACAAAAGTAAGGGCCGAATTGCAGCGTTGTTACTGTGTTCATAAAAGCATTCCAGAAACTAGCAAAGACTTGTATTTTGAATGTTATTATAAGACTTCCTCCTGCCAGGCAGTTTCATGTATTTGGTACTGTTCTCGTGTCTGAAGGAGAGTTTTAAAACTAGTATAGCTGTCTGAAGACACCCAGACTTAAAAATACACTCCTTTCATGTAGTGTGATACTTTTGTGTATGTCTAACTTGAAAGCTTGGTCTTCCTTTCTTGTGGTATTCATTATGTTTTAGTTATTTTTTGTAAGTATAACAGGAGATCCTGAAAATATAAATATATATATATGTGTGTGTATATATATACTTACATATACTTTTTTATATATATGTATACATATATATTCCACACAGGAGCTGTAAAGTTCAGGTAGCACTACCTAGGCTATTGTTGTCTGACTTGAATACAAAAGTATTGTGTCTTCTTAATATATTAGCTCTCATAATTACTTGAGTAGTGGAAGCTGTTGCTTCTCTAGCTCGTTAGGTGTGGAAGAAGAATATGAAAGCATTCTGATTGCTGATTGGCTAGAGAGGAATTGTCCAGCATTACTACTGGTATTGGGAGAGTCCCATCTTCAATCCTGTAAACTGAAGAATAGCTGTGTCATGAGCTAAATCCAGGAAGTGTGGACCAGTTAATTCAGCCAGCTTCTTGATTAGTTAAAATAGGTATTGTTCACTGAAGAGGCAGTAGTCCTGCGTCTGTGTTGGCATTATCTACTGAAGGGTAGTAAAGGTACTTGCCTTTTCAGCTGTGTCAGTGTTGGTTGCCCAGATGCCTAAATTCCTTCTTGAAGATACTTTTTTATATTCTTTTCTGAGATAAATTTGTATTTCAGGAGACAAGTTAAACACCTGCATCTCTATTCAGCATTTGCTTTCTGAAGACTTCTTGTTAAATCTCTCTTGGAGTAACTATAAGTCATGTCTGGAGGTTTTCTTTGATAGTCTTGTTCAAGTCTTTTCTTGAAGACACCATTCTGAGTATAAACCAAGCCTTTTAGTCTCTCAGATTTTGTATTAAGTGGGACGACTTACTGTTAAGTAATAGTGTTAACAATTTCAGTTCAGTATGTAGAAATGTTACTGACTTACCTAGCTATACTAGTAAATAAATAAATTCCAGCCATTTAATGGCAATTTAACTGCTGATAATCTAATAAACAGGCTTGTTATAGTTGTTTTCTTACAATATGCCTTTCCGGGTAGTTGGTCTTTTAAGAATTCTACACCCATACACCTTCCTCACCCTTCCCACCCTCTCCATACCCCATTTGCCATGCCAGTCCATTGAACTTTTAAGGCGTGTTTATCATCTGATGAGAAGGCTGCATGGAGACCTCATAGCAGCCTTCCAGTATCTGAAGGGGGGCTATAGGGATGCTGGGGATGGACTGTTCATTAGGGACTGTAGTGACAGGACAAGGGGTAACGAGTTAAAACTTAAACAGGGGAAGTTTAGATTGGATATAAGGAGGAAATTCTTTCCTGTTAGGGTGGTGAGGCACTGGAATGGGGTGCCCAGGGAGGTTGTGAATGCTCCATCCCTGGCGGTGTTCAAGGCCAGGTTGGACAGAGGCTTGGGTGGCATGCTTTATTGTGGGATGTCCGTGCCCATGTCAGGGGGGATTGGAACTAGATGATCTTAAGGTGCTTTCCAGCCCTAACTATTTTATGAGTCTGTGATTCTTAGGGGCAATCACAGTGTTTTGTTGTTTTCAGTTGGAGGCTGCTGCACTACCTGTATGTACAATGAGTCACAAAATTAGGAGGTGATGTTAGTTTAACAGGAGCATTTCATTTATTGTGATGTCCTATATATCCCTCAGTTCTTTGGCCAGATCATCTATTTTAGAATTTGGTGCTTTCAGCAGGACAGAAGTACTATCAAATTCAAAACCAGTAGCTCACAGGATACTGCAGAGTTTTGTAAAAAGGAGGCAGAGGGAGGGGATAGAGTAGTAAAATCAGTATGAGGTTTTATTTAAATGAAATAATGAAGTGCAGCAGGACAGTAAATTCTTCAATTGTAGAAATAAATTAACTTCAGCTTTTTTTGTATAACCTGTGGCCCTGACTACATATTTAAAGTGTGTATGTTTATAATCTATAATGTATGTAGTTGTAATATACATAAGTATATAAAATGTGTATCCATGTGTGTAATAAGTGTGTATATGTGTGTGTGCATATGCACATATATGAACACATAACCTAAATATGCATAGAACAAGGTCCCTCCCTCTTCTTTCAAATGTGATGCTTTGATGCTTTCTCTTAATTTTAGACAAGTTATTAGACAAATTCACATTGGTGCTGATCTGAATGAAAAAGTGGTTTGCTGAAGTAGTAATGGGTTCACAATATACTTGTCCACTCCAAAAGAGTCTGTTCCCCTAGAGATTTCTTGTATGTCTAATGGCTTAGTTCTGGAGAACCAAAGCTGTCATTATAAATTAGACTTTGTTCCCCCTACCCATCTTATTTCTGCACCTACTCAGCATTCTCAACCCTTCATGACCCCCAGCCAAGCAAAACCATGTTTACTGTTTTGAAGAAAATCTGAATGTTAAAAACACTTTGTTCACTGGTAAGGTGCAGCAGAGAGTATATATATTATGCAGATTTTAGTAACAAGCAATAGAAATGTCAAATCCTCTATGATTTTTTTCTCTCCAATAAATGATAAAGGCCAGTGAAGTGGGAGCTGCTTGCATGAGTTCCTTCAGAAGTAATTACTGTCAAAATTAGGCTTTCTGAGAAGGCTAGAAAGTGATAACAGTATCTTTACCTTGTGAATGTAGCAACATGCAAGGGATACAGAAAGATTAAATTGTTCTGAGCGTGTCTTTGACAGCACAGTTAGATGAACAGTTATTTTACCTGCAGAAGCAGATTACCAAAACACAGTGTGTCAGAGATGGGGGACTGTAGGTTGAAATTATGCTTGAAGTCTAAACATTCAGAGAGGTTTTCACTTTTCCTCTTAACACTGTTTACAGTAAAAGTGAAGAAAAAAGAACCCAAACCACTGAATTCAAGGTATTGACTAAATAAAACAATAAATGACAGCTGTAGCTTTATAGGAGTCAGTGAAATTATCAGTTATTCATCAACCACAGTATTGATTATAGAAGAATAACAGCTTCTAAGTCTCTTGTGTTTTAAATAGGAAGTGTTTTGAGTTGATTTATATAACTGAATACATAGCTGCTTTTTTTTAAACCTGAGGCAATTATAGAAAAAACTTCTAGGGATGCTTTGAAAATTTCATTGAACTTGTCCATGTTAGAATTCCTTGTACACTCGTAAGGAAGAATCTGTAGTTTTTGTGGTAAACTACAGTGAAACTAGGTGTTTGGGTTTTTTTAATATTTCTCTTTTCAAAATTGTCTTAAATACCAAATACCAAATTCCCATGCTGGGATATTGTGACTTCCAATTTCTCTCTACTCTATTTTCTCCAAAAGATGTGTGTAGTTTGGGTTGTTTCGCAGTTGCTTTTATTTTAATCCCCGTAGGCCAGTTTATACCGCAGAGCACTAATACTTCATCCTTTTGATATCTCCTCTGATGTGTGTGTCATTCGCAGATGGCTGAACTGACCCTGTAGCTCTGATCTCATAATCTTACATTTTATTGGAGGAGTTTCTTCAATAGCTGCTGAGTCATGTTCTAAATTACGTCAGGAAACCATTTCTGATTTTTATCTTTTGTTTTGCAAAAAACCCCACCTTAATTCTGTCTGGTAGGCAGCAATGAAATACTTATCTAAAAGGCTGTAAGACTGTGGACTAAAGCATATGTCTCGGAGGTAAGGACTTAACGTGTTCATACCGAAAGGAGATGCCTTTGCAAATAAAGAGATTGTGAAAAGTTCTCTTTTGCATCTGAATATTTATAATAATCTATTTTTCACTTGTCCCAGGAAATTAATTTTTGCAAAAGTGTGCAGTGATTCTTACATATTTAATGTCAGGAGATTTCCAGATGTGACAACATCATCTGTTTTTGTTATAGCTGCTACTGAAGTTTAGCCCACTTGGCAGGGGGAACAAAGGCAAAGTAGCAAGCCTGGTCTGACTTTAAGTCTGTATCACTCAAAGGTTATACTTAATGCATAACTCACACGAATTGTACAATTTAAATGATTCTACTGATTTGAATTTACCTGTTGGGGTAACATGTTTACGCAGCAGCTTATTGCATTTCAATGATAGTATTTCAGCATAAGCTAATAGGAGTTATAGCAAAACAAAAGCTGTTGGCTTCAGGAGATTAGGCTCATGTTGGTTTGGTTTGTTTTTTTACTGTATACAGTCAGGTTGTTTTCTCATTAAAGCACAGAATACTGCAACATTCTTGTTTAAAGGTAGAGAAGAAACAGAGGTCTGAGAGTTGTAAGCACCGTAACACAGTATGTAACATGCTTGGTAGAGAAGACAAGGGTACTTGAAGTAACATTTCAGCTCTTTAAAATGGTTGTCTTGCTGTGTAGACTCAATCAACAGAAGTTACTTTGAGAACGCTATTGCTATGGTTGAAAGCTGTCGGCATTAAATGCATGCTTTTTCATCACATTGAACTATTTACTGGTCCAAATGATACCAGTGGGTTAAAGCAAACAGTTTGTGCTGCTAGAAGTACAGTGACAGCATTATGCTTCGGAATAGTATGGAACCCCAGAAACTAAGCACCTGAAGAACTTGATATTACGTAGTGTGTTGTATTTTTACAGGTGCCTCTGATTAACGAACTTGAGTCCGCAATGCACCAGCTGTACAAACAGCGAGCTTCCCGCCTTGTCCAAAGACGACAAGATGATATTAAAGATGAATCTTCGGAGTTTTCAAGCCATTCAAGTCAGTCCATCTTGAAGGTTTTTATTATTCATTAAACAACCTTGTTTACTTAGTATGGCTTAATTTAAATGTAAATGTTTAAAGTATGACTGCCTTAATGTTTATCCTTACTCTTGACATGGGTAGAAGCAAGTTTAGATACAGTTCTCTAATCTGTTTTGTTTTAAACTCAGAGCCACTTGTAACTCTGACTTTACCTCTCCTTTCTTTTGCTCCTAACTGGATTTTCTCTTTCCTAGCACTGTAAATGTATGCATGGTGGCAGTGGTAGTAGTGGTAGCATGTGACTCCTGATTTTCTTCTTTTGTCAGAACTTCTTTTTTCTCATAACCTCATCTATAAATTTCCTGTAACACTTACAGTTAATTCTGTACAAAGCCATGAAGCACTGGGCTAGAGCTGATTTCTATCTAATGCTCTATTTGTAGGCAGCAGAAGTATTTCATTTCAGACACTTAACTGGTAAAACTAACGAACTGGAAGAGACTGGTGCCATTGTTAAAAATCAGATTAGTACAAAATGACCCTACAATTTAAGATTAGTCAGTTAAAATACCTTCTTACTGTGACTGTGTGGATGGGGGATTCTCAATGAGGAGTTTTCTGATGGTGATTGCTCTTCAGTATGTGAAACTACGAAAGTATAAATGTTAACTTGGATGGAAATACACATTCCTTGGAGGAGGTTTTATTCAGCATGTTACATGATGGGTAAATATATTAATGGTAGTCATCTTTCTGCTTTGGAGAGCTTTCTGTTTTTAAAAATGGTTTTCTTGTCTGTCCTATTGCTGACATAAGATCCTATAATAAAAGCCACTTTCCATTCTTTCACATTGTGTCCAGAGATGAAATTTTGATAATACTGTTAGCTAGAACTTACTAAGGGTGATAAAGTGCTAAGGCATCAGAGCTGCTCATGCCTTTACAGAGTGGTTAGCATACAGGTTCCTTTTAGGACTTTATTTGCAGCCGCAGGCATCACATGTAGGTCTTGCAGTTTTACTATGAAAATGCTGTTGTAAAAATTAGAAACCTAATGTACTAGAAACATGTTTCCTGAAAGAAGCTTGGAATAGATTATTTTGGACTGGAATTTAATTATGGGGTGGAAATAGTTGTCATTGTCAAGGCTGGGTTTTAAAGAGAAATTTCATTTAGTATCTGTGAGTCTTGAGAATGAATTTCACTGTGTCTAGAAATAGTTCTGTTCTGTCTCTGAAATTACCACAGAAACTAGGATTTGATGCCAGAAATTGATTTGGTGCATGTACAGACACAGGCAATCTGCTTTTCTTCATGCAGTGTCAGAACACTAAAGGGCTAGAAGTGGATTCAAGTTTGTCTGTCAACTTTTGCTTTATTTCTCTGTAAAGACAAGCAGCTGAGCTTGGAATAACATTTTAAGAATTGAACAACTGATGGCTTCATCAGTATAAGGCTCTTAGTAGTTCCGATACGGATTTGGAATAATTACTTAGATTATTGTTAATATTTTTAATGATGGATTTGTAAATAGTTTTAGGTAAAACATTAAATTTGCTGCTGTGAAGTTTGGGTAGGCTTTTGTTTAAATCTTGATGTTTATGTTGTTGTGGGTGGGCTTGAGCACTGGCTAGCACTCGATCCACTTCTAAAATTTACCCAAAAAGGATGAACTGGAAATACTTTTGTGTCTGGCTGCTGGTTGGCGATCAGCTTCATTGGTTAGTGGTGGTGTTTTCTATAATCAGGAATGTCTATAATGCAGCTTAGAGGAGGGAAGATTGTTTATTTTCCTGTAGCTTTTGGTGTGTTTAAAACTTTAGGCAGTCTAAAGCAAAATGACAATGAATAGAACTCCCAAATATCATATATTCCTTCTCTGGTGACTCCTTTCTGGCTATTTTTTTGTTCCTTTTCTTTTCAAAAGATACATGGTGAGCATGTTTATGTAAGGAGCGCCTTCTGTTGTGGAACTTTCAATTTAAGCAATTTCTTTTAAATGTTGGCTTTTATATTGTTGGGCACTGTTGTGAGAGGGACAAGAATGAGGTATGGTGAAAACTATTTGATGTTTAAGTGGAGGTTTTTCCAAACCCCACTACTTCCTCTTTTAACCTCTATACATGTGAATTCAGGCTTCTGGGTGCATCTTTTTTTAAAACTTCAACCTTTCTGCTTCAAATTACTCTTAGTTTAAAGTAGGTAAAAGGCTCTTATGACACTGCCTGCAACACATTTATATAATCATAGGTAAGCATTTTAATTTTCATCCATCTAATTTTACAGATAAAGCACTGATGGCACCAAATCTTGAATCTTTTGGACGAGACAGAGTGATCTATCAAGAGCAAGTAAAGCGTCGAACTGCAGAAAGAGAGGCTAGAAGGTAGAGTGATTTCTTGTCTGTTAGGAGTCTTTGCTGGCTTGCAGAATACAGTTGTCCTGTGTCACTTACTAATGTAAGTAGCAATGTTTGCTCCTTTCCTGCAAAGGGAAAAAAACACTTAAGCTGGGCAGGGGTTTTCTTACGTATTCCTGCTTACCCTGCAAGTATACAAAACAAGGCTCTATGACATAATACTGATATAAAATCACTAAAAGAGCACATAGTAGACCCATTCTGTATCTATCTTGTCACTGCTGGTTTCTCTTCCTTCCATTGTTTGAGGCAGCAACATAGCTGTGGTAATGTAGTGAAAGTGGAGGGGGTTTTAGCCTGGATTTCCTTGCATTGAAAGTTATGACAAGCTTAGGTGGATCTGCACATTGCATGGGGGTAAAAAAAAAGCCAGTAATAACTGGTTTATGTTGCTGATCTTTTTCAGAACTCGTCGTAGACAAGCAAGAGAGCAAACTGGGAAGATGGCAGATCACCTTGAAGGCCTTTCCAGTGATGATGAGGAAACTTCGACAGATATTACAAACTTCAACATGGAGCGAGGTAGAAAAGCTTCTGAAGTTTTATGTAACAAAATTCAGAAAAAAAGGCAGAAAAAAAGAAGAATTGATCCAAATGCAGCCCTGTCCATATATTTCACCATATTTTGGAGAAAGTTTAGGAACTATTCCTTGCTGGATCATCAATGTGACAAAACCAGTCTTGTTTCACCAGGCTGTTGTGCAGCTTGCAGCTGACAAAGTACCCATCCTTACTGAGATTCTTTAATTGAAATATTCTTTTTCTGGCAAGCAGTAAGATTTTCTACCTTCAAGTGGATACTTCTAATTTGTAACATGGTTTATCATTCTTCAAACCTCGGCTTGTTTCACATGTGAAATTCTGAAAACCTCAGTGCTTTAGAAACCTTTAGAAACCTTTTTTTATCTTTTACAGCAGCAGTTAAAATATTATTCCAGTGGCTGCTGTGAAACCAGTAGTGAAGAAAGTGGAGCATCACTATAGTAATCCCATTCTCTTATTTTGAACCTTAGTACAATTATAATTATCTCTGATTAAACAGAATTTAATCAGTTTAGAAGAAATGTGGAGAAGGGGAGCAGCAAGGATCACACATGAAGAATTGCTTATGTTGTGTATGAGAGAGGATTAAACAGTTTTACAATCTTCAGCTAGGAGAACAATGTTGACTTTTCACAGTATGAGAGCTAGGGGGCATGAAATGAATTGGTAGGATTGGTTTAAAGTAAACAAGTCACTTCCCACAGAGAGTGTAATAAAAATGCCAAAGTCATTGCTGTAGGAGGCTGTGGAGATCCAAAGTGTGAACAGATTAAAAAAAGCAATTAAATGAAGTGTCTAACAGTGGGATCCTTCAGAAGTGCAAACAGTTTCCACACCTTTAGTTCCTGGCTGAGTTACCAAAACTGGGGGTGCAGGGAGAGCTCTTTCATAAACAAAGCAACTGTTCAGGGTTGTTAGGTGCTATAATTAAGTTTGCCAAGTTAAATGATCTAGATTAAAAATTCAGCATGGCTGAATTGCTCTTTGCAGCTTGGCACTTTTACGTGTACTAAAGCCTTTTACAGTATCACAGTATGCTAGAGATTGGAAGGGACCTCAAAAGATCATCTAGTCCAATCCCCCTGCCGGAGCAGGAACACCTAGATAATGTTACACAGGAATGTGTCCAGGCGGGTTTTGAATGTCTCCAGGGAAGGAGACTCCACAACCTCCCTGGGCAGCCTGTTCCAGTGTTCTGTCACCCTCACTGAGAAGAAGTTTCTTCTCAAGTTTAAGTGGAACCTCTTGTGTTCCAGTTTGTACCCATTACCCCTTGTCCTATCATTGTTTGCCACTGAGTAGAGCCTGGCTCCATCCTCGTGACATTCCCCTTTATATATTTATATACACTAATAAGGTCACCCCTCAGTCTCCTCTAAACTATAAAGACCCAGCTCCCTCAGTCTTTCCTCATAAGGGAGATGCTCCACTCCCTTAATCATCTTAGTTGCCCTGCGCTGGACTCTCTCCAGCAGGTCCCTGTCCTTCTTGAACTGAGGGAAGTTTCATCAGTTTCTGAGTAAGCATAGTATTTCTAAAGATTGTTTATTTTTAATCATTTGTAGCTCTCATGTTAGTCCAGAATGAGCAGTGAGCTATATGGAACAGAGGGATGCGCTTTGTGCCTGCTGACTTCATTTGTAGCATCTCTTCTTGATTCCAGTGTGAAAAATGTGTTTATATGACATAATCTTATGGTTCCCTTAGGCCTGTTTCTACTTTCTAAGCGTACTAGTTACATTAGTTGTGTACAGGTTACTACTATAACTAAACATTTAAAACTGGCTGCAGCAAAAATGACTGATGAAAATGAAACTAACCCTAGGAAGTGGAAAAGATGAAGGGAAAGTAATATATGGAGAAAATGTTCTGGACTGCACAGAATACTGGTACTGTCAATATAAAACAACATAAGGAAGGTGCTAAGAGATTGTTATACTTTCCCAGTGCTAAGAGCCATGTTATGTTCAGCAGTTTAGTTTGGTGTCTACCAGTGCCCCCTCAGTCTGACGTGCTGATTCAGTTAGCTTATCTGAGTTGCCCTCCTGTACTTGCACTTGGATGCACAAAGTCATAGCATAATTTGGGTTGGAAGGGACCTGGAGGTCAGCTGTTCCAAACTCCCATGCAGAGCAAGGCCAGCTTCAGAGTTAGGTCAACACTTGAATACAGCCCAGTACACACTGATTGTATGAAACCCTTAAAAGTGAGATCTGTGATAAAATAGTACATCAGAGACTAATCATGTGCTCTTGTTCTTATTACTTTGTATTCCTGAGACAGAAGTAACAGAACTTTTAAACATGATGGGGTTTTTGTTTGTTTATAGGAGTTTGCTTATGCCAGTGAGTATCAAAGTCGCTCTTGAAAGAGGTATTACAGGGAATAGGTTATTATCTTCTTACTGTTTTTCTCCCCCACCAGATCGTATATTGAAAGAATCCAGCAAAGTTTTTGAAGATGTTTTGGAAAACTTTTATTCAATTGATTGCATTAAGTCACAGTTTGAAGCTTGGCGCTCAAAGTACTTTGCTTCTTACAAGGATGCTTATATTGGCCTTTGTTTACCAAAGCTGTTTAACCCTTTAATCAGACTTCAGCTGCTTATCTGGACTCCTTTGGAGGTAAGGTCCTCTGCAAGCAACTTCTACAAAGTGGTTCTTTCACACTTCTGCAGAGCAAAGTAAATTTTGATGTGTGCTTCTCATAAATGCGTGTTCTAGGCAGAACATTTTCTTCATTTCTCAGGAATCAGGCTGGCCTGTGTTTCTTAAGGAAGTAGTGTCATTGCTTCAGAAGTAGGGGAGCACGTGAAGTAATTTACTCGCCCTTGAGACAGATTAAGAGACTTGAGGCACTCAGGTCTTGAGGCACTATTTCTTTTTTTTGTTTAATTTCCACTGCAGATGAGTATCTGACGTGTAAAGAAAAGGGACTAGGTTTGAATTGTGCTCACTTGCTGCTTGCCCTGCCTGCTTAGCATACTTCCTGAAGTTGTTGTTCTGTTTTGTGAGTGTATCATACTTGCACATATACTACTCTTACTTTTATTTTCTTTAATGTGTTGACTGCAGATCTCTATTTAGAAATCCAACCTCAGTTCTTTATTCACTAGGGCAAGTGTCGAGATTTTGAGACTATGTTGTGGTTTGAATCATTGCTGTTTTATGGCTGTGAAGAACAGGAACAAGTGAAAGATGATGCTGATATTTCACTGTTGCCTACCATTGTAGAGAGAGTTGTTCTTCCTAAATTAACAGGTATAGTCTTGGAAAGAAAATGGGGAGAAATGCGGGGGTGTGGAAGCTGATGTTTGTGCTTTTGGGTCTTACTGTTTTGTAAATGGTTGCCTGGCTGTTGTTAGTACTTGTATTTGAGCATTTGCAAAGAGAAGTATATTCTTTAATCTCTTACAGTGATTTCTGAAAATATATGGGATCCTTTTTCTACAACACAAACGTCCAGAATGGTAGCAATTGTACAGAAGCTAGTAGATGGATATCCTTCAGTGGTGAATGCAGAAAACAAAAATACACAGGTAAGTTGTTTTTTTCTTAAGTATCTTGCATAAGTTAAGAAATTCGGATATATTCTTTCTACACTATATTGGAGAACACAGCATGCTTTGTGAGGAGCAGGAAAGACTTTTGCAGTTATTTAATGCTCTGCAGCCTTGTCATGGAGAGTCAAGTGGTGATAAATTAGGAGGAGGAACTTGGTGAAGTCTCCCCAAAATAGATGCTAGATATAAAAAGAGATATCAAATGTACTAAGAGTTGTTGGTCTGTAGTTTTGGTTTTAGGGCCAGCTACAAATAGTTAGGCTTTTCTCTTTTTTAAAATCTTTGTAACCTTTTCAAATGTATTGCTTTGAAATTTGATTGCTTTACTTACCTTCTGTGAATGCAGGAATTGATGTCATGACTTCAGGTGCCATAGCTGATGCAGTGTATGAATTGCTTTTAGAATAGTGGAGATAGGCCAAAGTGCATGCGTATGGAGAATTTGGAAGATTAAAAATTACAAAAGTCCTGACTTCCTAGAAGCTGTGTGATCAGGCTTAACTATAAAGTAGTTCCATTGCCTTCAGTTTTTATTGAAAGAGTCAAATTTCAAAATGGCCTCTGTCAAATTGCCTCTGTTAATTACTACAGGTTTTTCTAAGATTTTCTATATATAATGTGCTAAGTATGCCTACCTTCTACTGTTAGGGTCATAAATGTTCTTTGTTGCTTTGAAAATCAGTTTGAGTGGGTAACTACTAAGCAGTGCATTGGACACTTTAAAAAATGAAATTATCTGTTTCAGATGCTTTTAAAGGCATTGTTGCTAAGAATGAGGAGAACACTAGATGATGATGTATTCATGCCCTTATATCCAAAAAAGTAAGTTTGCTTTCAACTACGGTGTTAGATCTTTATTTGCAAGTTGGTGTCTTCGGTCCATAGTTAACAGGGTTTTTTTCCCAGTATGGTTCACTGGCTGGATACAGGAGATATTTCGTTATCATACTGTGAAGATTTAGCAAAGACAAACAGGATGGAAGGGAATATTTACAGAGATGAACTGTGTGTGGGTAGGAGGAAGCCAGCAAACTCCAGACAGAGGTGATCTTGGTTATTCATTAAAGAAATCTCTTACTTTCCAGCATCTTAGAAAACAAGAACTCTGGTCCATATTTGTTTTTCCAACGTCAGTTTTGGTCCTCTGTTAAGGTAAGTCAGTAAATACATCTGGTAAATCTTTCATCTAGGCAGTGTAGCAATGAAATCCTCTTCAAATCTGTGAAAAATGGTAGATGGAAATTGCTTTAACTACATTTGAAAGAACTCTAAATTAGGGTTCTTAGTCTTTGATAATGCACTGTGCCCTCTTCAAAAGGTTGCCAGTGAAAGTGCCATCATTTTAACTTGTATGTTGTGGGTTTATTTAGCATACTCAACCTATTTTTTTTTAATGTCATTGGGCTTAATGTCATTGTCAGAATAAAATATGCTGCTTTTATTTCACTTACGTTGGAACGAGAGAGCTTGGTTTGTTTTGTTTTGTTTTTTTTTTACATATAGTCTGAGAATCTCCATGAAAATTACTTGGCTCCTTTTCAAAAGCTTACTGCTATTTGTAAAGTATCAGAGCATTTGTAATCTTGAGTTTAACTGAAACAATAAAGAGTGAGAAAGAAAAAGTCTCTGTGTGTGGAACATGCAGTACAGAGTTTGCAAAGGTCTGTAAGAATCTGTGACTGTTGTAGTTTATTTCCAATAAAAGGTTGTGAAGAAAATTAACTCCCAACTACACAGGAAAGTAAAGTATGAGTCATAGAATCAGAGAATAGTTTGGGTGGAAGGGACCTTTAAAGATCATCTAGTTCCAACCCCCATGCCAGGGGCAGAGACCCATGGTGATTGATCTGCTGATCTCCATGATCATGCAAACAGAAATCTTATCTGGAATTTTCTATTCAAATTGCAGCAGTGAGGGAGACTGTATTCCTAATAAGCTTCCAGTCACTTCCTTTACTTAAAATATTTGGCACTGAATTCTTACACTTTGAAATAAAAGTCAACTTCATAAATGCTGCTTAGAACAAAAAATGCACAAGGTTCATTTATTAAAATGCCGTTATTAAAACAGATTGCTTGTTTAGGGCTTGTGTGTCTTTTAAGGGTGAAATTGTCTGCCTCTGGCAGTATCTGTTGAAGCCTGGGCAGCTTAAAACAGTGGTAACAGCACAAATGCTTCTACTTTAGAGAAGCATTAAAAATACAGCTGTCTTGCACTAGCAAGTCAGTTACAGTATCAAAGATGAGCAGAAGTAGAAGCTGGGAGGCAAGTGCTTATTTACCATTTCCTGATGATGTGCCTCAGCTCTACACTCCTGGCTAGGCTCATTTGTATGAGGGTAGCAGCAATTCTTCACAGGCTGCATGCCAGTGGGGAATAACAGCTGTACCAGCTGGCTTAGCCACCGTCCCTGGTAACATTTTGTGTCACTTGTGCCTTGGAAGTAAGGCTTTTGTTGACAAGGTGGCTATGAATTTGCCCCCATATGGCATATGCTGGGCATCACTTGGCTTGCCATCGATGGCCAGGTTTTGAGAACAAGATGGCTTAAAACTTTAATCTTTATTTTATGATTTCTTGTGCAAAACATGAGCAAAGTTGAGATGGTGGTGGTTGTATGAGAATTCACAACACCCTAGGCTGGTACTTTATGGATTCTGAATAGTTTTGAAGCTAACAGAAGGCATATTTCCACTGCTTACCTTAGCCATGCTGTTGCATTTAAAAAAGCTCTAGAGTGTTTGATCAAAGTTTCAATACATTTGTAAATACTTATTTTCCCTGTATTGTATTTTCAGTTATTAGGAAACTTTCTCCAGTGGTATGGAATCCTTTCAAACAAAACTCTTCAGGAACTGTCAATAGATGGTCTGCTAAACCGATATATACTAATGGCTTTTCAAAACTCTGAGTATGGAGAGGACAGCATTAAGAAAGCTCAAAGTGTAAGTAAAATCAAACGGTGTTTAAAATGACTTGTAATTCACATTTCAACTGAAGGAAAAATGTAGTTAAAGCTAGGTTACCTATGATGTCTTGGCTTTCACATTCCAAAGTTAAAATGTCAGTGAAAAATAGAATTTTTTTTTAATGTTCTTTTTCCTGTTATGTCTAGGTAATTGCCTGCTTTCCTAAACAGTGGTTCACTAATCTAAAAGGAGACAAAACTATTTCTCAGCTAGAAAACTTCTGTAGATACCTTGTTCATCTTGCCGATACAATTTATAGAAACAGTATTGGTTGTTCTGATGTGGAGAAAAGAAATGCAAGGTAACTTCCTTTGAGTTAATGCAATTGAAATTCTTGTGCTTTGTGTTATTTTGCTGATGCACTCAAACATGGGTAAATATCTTTATAGTGCTGCATGTCTTTTGAAACTTCTTTGAATTCAAACCTAAGAAATGTTATGGTATGGTAGATGGGGAGATTTTTAAGGTGTAAAACTGCAGCTGCTGGAATCCTGAAACATCTGTAGTATGTTTTGCACTGCTGCTTAGTGTCACTGATTCTGGCAGATTTTGTAGCTACTGGTTTTGGGTTGCTCCACCTTGTGAGCCTGCTGCCAATTCCTGCATAATGGCTTCTAAATTACAAACCGTGCTTTTGTATACAGTACAAAAGTTCTGACTTTATTTACACAGCCAGCTGGATGAACCTGTTTTCCCTGGTCATTTTACTGGTATCTGAAAACCAGCATAATTAAAAGTTCAGATTAGATCCATAAATGTTTCTGCTGGCCAAGTAACGTGAAATGCTATGGGTGTAGCGTCCTACACTCAAACTTAGAAAAACAAGTTATTACACTGATATGCAGGACTGTGTTGAGACTGGAAGATTGTTTATTCCTGTGCTGTGGCATGGGAAGCAGAGGTTTCAAGGCCAGTAGTTCTGTTGTTCCAGCAAACCTGAAACTTGGAATGACAAACCCCCTTGCTACCTGCATTAATCATTCTTGATAGTTGAACTTGCTTGAGCCATTGTTGAATTACTTGTCAATTACTGATGTTCTCCAGGGGATTAGATCTTTTTTGCTTTTTTATCTTATGCACAGCACTGAATCATAGAGACAGAAATTCCCCTTAAACCGTAGCTGAGAAATCTTGGTTAAGAGGGTTGGGTTGTTCTTTTTTCTGGTGTCGGGTTTTTTTTTCCAGTTGCCATGTTGGTTATTAGACACTTTTCAGAGCCGCTTTTGGCTGTGGCATATGAATCATCTAGTTTTCAGAGAACACTGAGCTTTGTGCCACGCTGGGTTGCTTTTCATCTGCTTTCAGGTTATGCCTCAGAACTTTTGTGTCCAAAGTACTACAGTAGTGTCACATAGCAATTTAATTTTCTCCACTATTCAAATTCCAAAAGGACTTAATACTACTTCATTTCTAAAACCAGAATGCCCTGCCTAGCATGATACTGGAATTGAAATGAAGGAGTTGAGATAGAATCCGGTAGAGATTAAAACTTCCTCTTTTTTGTTAGACTGTTCCTAAATTTGAAAGAGCTTTCTTTACCAGCTGGAATGATAATTTGGTAAAACTTCTGCATTGGAAGAGAAACATCCAATTAACAATTTTTTTTTCTAGTGAATTCTAATATAATTTCTGTCTTATGTCCTCCTACTTTTTTCCTGGCATTTAACAAATCTATTGCCATTGCTCCATTAAGCAGATGAAATAAGTCTGCAGCAGAAATACTACTTTTTATAAGTGAAGAATGTCGTATCTTTTTTTTATAAAGCCTAGGACAGTTGTTTGAACTACAAAGGCATTCATTTCTGCCAAGAGGGAAATGTATCTTTACCTATGTTTTCCAAACATTGGATACTTTCTCACAGATCAGCTAAGTTCATTTTTACGATTGATTTACTTCTGTTGTTTTTACTGAGACCAGTCTAAATTTCATGTCCACCCCCAAAGCAAGGCACCAAAATTGTTCTCGACAGCTGAAGAAGTACAGTCCTCCTGACAGTTAGTTCACTCTTAAGCTTCCTAGATTGACCTGAATTGTAATGCAGCCTTTTTAAGACATGCATTAAAGCATACTTGTTGCCTTGATTTTATTTTCTTTTTTGGCTGAAACATTTATCAAGGGAGCTGTGACTCACTGCACAATACCACAAGTAATCGAAGACTTTCTCTTGAGATGATACTGCACCTCATATTAAACCATATGTATGATTAATTCCTACTCCCAAAATACATTTTCCAGTCTCAGTACAAAGCTGATACCCAGCTAATTTTATCAGACTAAGCAAGCGGGGCAGAGGATGATGTGAAGTTATCTGAAACTGATTTGCTATATGGATTCATAATGTAGTCTTCTGCTGAAATACTACTACTTGTACATGATCGTTCCATTCCTGTATTGATTTCTCCTTCCCCTTTTTTAGGGAGCACATAAAGCAGATCATAAAGCTTCTAGCAAGTATCCGAGCACTGGATCATGCTGTGACAGTTGCAAATGATCACAACATAAAAGAGTTAAAGATTTTAATAGAAGGAAAATAGACTTTTCTGATAACTCATTTTGAGCTTTAAAACCATTCCTGATGTGTAATTTATGTACATATGTAAAGTTTCTTAAACTGTAAAGTATTGATCTTTGTTTTAATACAAAGTGCATTCTTATATACAGCATCCTTAAAAAAAAATAAAAAAAAATACTTCTTTGAAAACAAAAATGGAATCCCAAGATTGTCATTTTTCCAGAAATCAGATTTTTCCTTAAAGTGTCTCAAAATCTTGCTTACAAAAATACTTTGTACCCATGATTAGTAGTCATCTGCTCTTGGTAATTGTTCCATGGTTAACTGGAATATGTATAATATATTATGTGTAATACAATTATGTGTATGCATATATTAATACCACCACATTGCTTTCACACTGGATATAGAGATCTTGTACTGTGGGAGTAAGCTTTTCATTTGCTCAAAATTACTTATTTTGACAATAAAGTGATCATATTATTGGTCAAAAGGGCTGGCAAAACATTCCAATATGTGAAAATCATTTGAACTAAATAGTAGAGACACTTTCAGATGGAACCTGACCTTTAAAAGGCAGCTGTGCTGCACTCAAATTGGAATAGCCAAAAAATAATTCGCATTCAGACTATGGAACACGTAAGAGTGTTCTTGGAACCAAAACAGGAAGGAAATCCCAATCATAACTTAATTATTTTTTACTAGAGGCATACAAAGAGATTGTTGTATTATACTTGTGATTATTGCACAAGTATATATGACAGCACTTCCTAACCCTCATTTTTCATTTTTTAGGAATAATAGTTTACCCATGAACTCTGGACACTTGTTTCTTGTGCAAGTTGGTTAAATTCACATTTTTTTGTCTTTTGGGTTTTGGGGGTTGGGTTTTATGGGATTGAGGGTGTTTGTTTTGGGGGGTTTGGTTGGTTTTTGTAGCTTCATACATGGAACCTGATTTTTTTTTCTGATCGGTATGGCTAAAGATACCAAGCAAAATGAAGGTGACGCAAATTTTATATCCCATGATTTGAAATATTTATAGTAAATAATCTAATGGTACACTTCCCACCAAATACCGTCTACAAATAGTCTTAAAAAAAAAAAAGGCATTTAATTTGAATGTAAATTAAAAAGAAAACACTTTTAAAATCTGGTGATTTATATCAAACACTGTTGGGGTCCAAGGCATGGGAATAGCTGTAATAGCCTTGGATTAAGAGCTATTTCCACGTGTGCCCTACTCTTTCAGGGAACCGTAGCAATAAACTGGCATACTGAATAACATAAGAAATCATCGTATTTTAAACTCATGTCATGTGGTATAAATGAGTATGTTAATGTACAATCTGTAACATGCAGGCTTCATTTTGACACTGAACAATTGTTTTTCTGAACTGTTGGGATTGATGGAGTACATTCAGAAATACCTGCTTTTAAAAAATTGTTTCAATAAACTCATCTGTCAAGGAGCTGTTGCAGTGCAACTTGGAACGTTTTATTCCTTTGGGAAGGTGAGAAAGGAAATTACATGTGCACTAGCTGACTCCATTTCAGTATGTCAGAGAGAAAAATTGTTCTTGGTGGGGGTTTAGAGTGAACAAAAGCAACCCTAACCAGTCTATAACTGGCTTTAGACTGGAAATCATGTTTATTCACTCTGTACTGCCTCTCTGGGAAGAAGGCTTGTAATGAGTATTTCTTCCACTCTTTCTCTGACTGTTGTCCAGTTTTGAACCATCGGCCATTATCTCAAACTTTGATGTTCTTCTAATAGTAGAAAATAGAATCTTCTAATAGAATCGTAGAACCATAGGATCATAGAATAGTTAGGGTTGGAAAGGACCTTAAGATCATCCAATTCCAACCCCCCCTACCATGGGCAGGGACACCTCACACTAAACCATGTTAACCAAGGCTCTGTCCAACCCAGCCTTGAACACCGCCAGGGCTGGAGCATTCACAGCTTCCTTGGGCAACCCATTCCAGTGCCTCACCAGCCTCACAGTAAAGAATTTCTTCCTTATATCCAATCTAAACTTCCCCTGTTTAAGTTTTAACCCATTACCCCTTGTGCTGTCACTACAGTCCCTAATGAAGAGTCCCTCCCCAGCATCATTACAGGCCCCCTTCAGATACTGGAAGGCTGCTATGAGGTCTCCACGCAGCCTTCTCTTCTCCAGGCTGAACAGCCCCAACTTCCTCAGCCTCTCTTCATAGGGGAGGTGCTCCAGTCCCCTGATCATCCTCGTGGCCCTTCTCTGGACTTGTTCCAACAGTTCCATGTCCTTTTTATGTTGAGGACACCAGAACTGCACACAATACTCCAGGTGAGGTCTCACGAGAGCAGAGTAGAGGGGCAGGATCCACCTTCCTCAACCTGCTGGTCACTCTTGTTTTGATGCAGGTAACTAACTATAAGATGTAGGTGCAGGTTTTCAACTGCATTTGCCATTTCAGTGGATGTGCACAGTACTAATGGGGGTCCAGACTAGCAGAGCGGCAAAGCTCTACGTATTTATTATTAAAAATACAGGTATTTTGCTCCAATTTGGATTGTGACTAGGACTGCAGGGGAGGGAATGAAGAGTGTATTTTCCTTGTAACCTTACAAATTATAGCTACAGAGAATCTTTTTTCAAGATAGCCTGTAGTCATTTTCCTAATTAACTGCTGCAGAAGTTATTCATATTACACTGAACCTCTGGTGTCTAAACTCCTCATGCTTGAGGCATGGGCACCTTCCTATGCCTACATAATGTCACATTTGGAGAACAGCAACATGAAGAAAGTTGCAGCAAAGTATACTTGGGGGTGATAAGTAATCTAACTTCTCATTTTGGGCCATGCAGTGCCTTTCCCACGTATAAATAGTTAAAATTGTGCAGGCACATAAAGGCATTATGTAAATAATGTTACCTGGTTTTATTTATAAACAAAGTAACCACTTTTACTTCTATCACTTCACCTGTATCTCACTTATTGATGAAAATTAAATGCTAGTAGCAAATTGGTTATGCTTTGGGTAATGTTCTTTAAACAACGTGAGGTAGCTGCTTGATTGAGGCGTAATCTGAGGACAACTGCTTTAATGTTATTCTCCCAGTTTGCCACGTGTATCTCACTGTTCACTATCAAAATTAACAAATGATTATACCATGTTAAGAGACCAACGTCCTAGATGATGATGAAACCCCATGTGAGAAGGTACTAACACATTAAGTGACATGGCAATCTTATTTCTGCTCGGAACTCTTCAGGGACTCTTGAGAAAGTCTAATAACCCCTTTAGTAGTTAGCATTGCTTCAGAAAAGGGAAGATGTACAACAAAGTTGCATATAAAACTGCCAGCCATTGACATTTTTATGTACAGGGTAATTATTACAGAATTATTACAGTTAATTATTACAATTATTTTATTATAGATTTATGTATTACTACAGTTATTACAGAATTACCTTTTCCCTAAAGGTTGCTAGAAGCAAGGGGAAAACCTTGTCCTTTACTATAAAGGAAAACAAAATGAGATCTGAAATGTGAAATGGAGAAGTTGGAGGGAAAATTGTGCAGATTCAGGGAGATGCATGATTCCTCTTTCTCCTCCTTTCGCATACATCTCATTTTCAGCAAAAGTTTGCTAATCAGTGGCTCTGCTTTCACTTCTCTCCAATTTACTCTTCAAAAAAGGGTTGTTTTTTGGTTTTTTTTTTTGAAAGAACCCTAAATATATATCCACTGAGGAGGAGATATGCACCTGCAGTTTTGTGTATACAGCATTGGTACTGTAACTTGGTGAGGTTTGTTTTAGCAGGCTGACCTCTCCTCTTAAGCATGGTGGTTCTTAAAAGCAGTACCCCTGTCACCTTAGTTTTATTAGTTGCCTAGTGAAAATTAAATGTCCTGTGATTAATGCTCCACAAGGAAACACCACCATCCGTGACCCGTCCAGTCAGCTTTACTTGTGAAGGCAGAAGCAAATTCCTGCAGGAGTTAGCAGTGACACGTATGGAAAACAGAACTCATTCAAAAATGGTTGCCGCGAGGAAGGAACATGGATGTGGTTTTGTGAGGCGCTTGCACACCACCAGCTCTGATGGATCAGAGTTGAGCGGTTTTGTCCTGTGTGTGGTACTCCAAACATAAAACTTTTGTGGCCTTACAATTATTAGTTGAATTAGTCTGTCTGCACTGTGAAATAATACAGGATGGTTTGTCCAAGAGTACTTGATTTCTGTACATAAGTAAAATTCTTGCCCTAAATATGCAGAAATAAATGAATGGGGATAAAACAACTGCATGCAGTCCAACCTTATAAATAAGGGTCTGCAGTTTAAAGCTCTGCTCCAAATGATGACTTAAGCATGAGGTTTTGTTTAAATACATGAACTGCCCCACTGACTCCGCTTATATTACTTTCATGCTTTCTGTGCATAGTTAAATCTTTCCACAGAGCAGAGACCTGGAGCAAAGCACAGATCTCCAAGAGCACAGCACAAATCTCCAAGATCTGGTGTAGTATTTTTCTTACATGCTTAAGCACAAATTTTGTGCCCTAGATTTCATGCAAGTTCCTGAGTACTGTCTGTTTACCTTCTTAAGACTTTTGTGATACCTAGCTAACAGAAAACATTCAGCAGGATGTTTTAAATAGGCTCTGCTCAGAAGCCCAGTGAAGTAGGCTGCAGCCAGATGCTCACCCAGATGCTCTCTCACTCCCCTCCTCAACAGCACAGTGTGAGAAAAGAGGATGAAAAAGCCCATGGAGCAAAGTAAAGATGGGGAGATCACTTTACAATTAACATCATGGGAAAAAGACTTGATTTAGGGAATTAACTTATTGGAAATAAAAATAGATCTGGGTGTTGAGAAACAGTTAAGACACCTTTCTTTCCCACCTCTTTATCCCAGGCTAAACTTCACTCCTTCATTCCCAATTTCTCTATCTCTTCCCTGCTCCCTGACCTCCAGTTACAGAAGTATGCCTCAGCATTTCCATATATTTAAGATTGGTGAGATTCTGAAATTCAGTTGGCAGTCATTTTCATTACACAAAATTGAAGAAAAAATAAGCTTTGTTTGTAATATGCTGTTATGCAGTGTATTACATTGGCTATTTATTAGAATCAAATATTCTCATTTTCCGTTACCTTCTAAACAGCAGCATTTTCTGAAGTTAATAATAGCTTTCTCAAAGCTCCCACTATTTGACAGCAATACATTTTTTACATTCTTAGCTGATGTAAACTGATACTGGTGAATGAAGACTTGGATATGAGCCTGCAATGCGTGCTTGCAGGCCAGATAGCCTGTTGTATCTGGGGCTGTGTAACAAGAACCGTGGCCAGGAGGTAGAGGGGGGTGATTCTCCCTGTCTGATGCACTCCATGACACCTCACCTGGAGTATGGTGTTCAGCTCTGGGGTCCCCACAGAGAAGACACAGTCCAGAGGAGGGCCTCTTATTTGGGAAGGCTGGATCACCTCTCCTGTGAAGAAAGGCTGAGAGAGTTGGACTTGTTCAGCCTGGAGAAGGCTCTAGGGAGACCTTATAGCAGTCTTCCAGTACCTTAAAGGGGCCTACATGGAAGCTGGAGAGGGACTTTTTAAAGGGCAGGTAGGGACAGGATAAGGGGGAATGGCTTTAAACTGAAAGAGGGTAGATTGAGATTAGACATTAGGAAGAAATTCTTTATTGTGAGTGGTGGTAAGACACTGGCACAGGTTGCCCGGAGAAGCTGTTGCTGCCCCATCCCTGGCAATGTTCAAGGTCAGGTTGGATGTGGCTTTGAGCAACCTGGTCCAACCCCCATGGCAGGGGATTGGAACTAGATAAGCTTTCAGGTCCCTTCCAACCCAAACAATTCTGTGATTCCATTACTATTTTCAATTGATGCACTTCACTGACATTTTGAAAGTCACTAACAAATAATGGAGTAGTCCATTTTCAACTGCATAATAATGATTAGCTACCAGGGAAAAAAAAAATTACCTGGAGGCAAAATATATTTCATAATAAAACAGTAACGTATGTCACCTTAATGTATTTTATCTGCTGAAAAAAAAGTGAACAAAGATACACATAATTCGTTTTTCACTCCAAGTATGTATCATAATTTTAGCCTTAGCTGTGTCTTGTAAAACAACCTTTAAATTGTTGTCCCTGCTAGTGATCTTTAAGCATTGATAAAAGCAGGACACACTTGCTTTGCCTCCACACCATCCATGTTGTCCTTCTTTTATTTTTACATTCTCAAGAGTAAAGTTTCATGAGTTTCTCTTTGATGCTGTGCTAAAGGTAGTTCATTTACAGGTGAGCATCTACCATGAGCAAGTAAGAAATAGCATAAGCTGTAATAAACTGTTAGTAATTATCCATTCTAATAATTTCAACCCCCATGAAACTTAAATAGTGTTTTTAAATATCATACCTTTATTTATCTATAGAACATTTTCACGGGACTCATCATAATGCATACAGGAAATTGGCCAGTTAAAGTCTCTAAAGATCACTTACATTGTATTTTACCTCACAAAGATTTGCTCTGTGTTCTCTCCCATCAGTGTATTCCCCTCAGTTGGTACTTAGCCTATGGTAGATAGGTGGGATAAGACCATATTTAAATATCAAAAGATTATGTATACAATCTACTGTTTCTTCAGAATAGACCAGAGCTATTCAGGGAATATATATCAAACATAACTTTCTGTGCTTCAATATAAATTTTATAAGAAATAGAAAAGGTCTTTTTGTTTTTAATTTTTACCCTTTGCAATGGGTATTGATCTCAGAGGAGAACGTAGCAGGAAGAAGTGCTACAACCTGAAATCAAAGGCAGCCCAGCTGTTGCCTCAGGAGGTAGCTATACCTGTCACACTTGCCCTCATGCATATTCTTTGTTCCAATTATAGTCTCAGTGAAGAGAGTATCTCCACAGTATTTCAGATTTTGTTTTTTTCTACTTCAGCTCTCCACTCCAGCTGCCATCCTGGCCCCAGCGCTATCTGAAGTGAAGCAAGATTCACTTCTCCCTTGACTTTAATATGTAGCTCTCAAATCTGCCTTTCGTTGTCTCCTCCGCAGCCTGTAATGTATCACCAACACGACGCAGCAAAGCTCCTGTGAAGCGGTACTCCTCCTCCACTTGCAGCCTGCACAGGCTGAATGGAAATTTCCAAAGAGATGCTGACGGTCTGTCGCTAAAACTTTGGAAGCCCGTTAAGCAGAGGCAGGCGTTAGCCATGACTCCGTGCTCCCACCTGACCCGAGGCACTCGGTGAGCATCTGTACACATGGGTTCTATGCCCACTGCACATTCTGCACAGTGAGGGCTTCAGTTCGCACTACTCCTTGTGAGCCCAACCCCAAGTTTGCTGTCCCTGCTGCACCTGTAATAAATACTTAACCGGGACTGTTCTAACAGAGCCTGACCGAGCATCCGTAGCACATCTGCAAACTCTGAAGCTGTCAACCTAGCACTGCCATGAGACTGCGCAAAAGGACAGGTTCTCCTGAGGTTTCTTTTCCTACCCTTCGTAAGAGGTCAGGGTTTCTCACGCGGAACTCCACCCTGACAGCAGGGATTACCGAAGGCTCAATGCTCCGGTTCAATGTGCCCCTCACAGAACCTACACGAGGGAACCGGGGTCTGCCAAAGCCTGAGCCAGCCCGAAGCCGCCGCTCCGGCGGGCCAGCACCCCTTCCACAGCAACCGCTTAATAGCCGCCCTCACGCCCGACTCGTGCCCCCCGCCTCAGGTCTCCCCACAGCCTCCGCCGGCGCCGCCGCCACCTCCGCACGCCCTCTACCGACTTCCGGTGGCGGGAGGCGCAATGCGGAAGGGACGGCGAGTCCGGAGCGGAAGTGAGTGCTCGCCGGCTCCCGCGGCACGGAGCGGAGCGGGCTGCCGACGGCGGCAGGCGGCGCGGCCGGTGAGGGAGGCGCTGGTACCGCTGCGGCTGAGAGGGGGTGAGGGGAGGCTGAGGAGCGGTGGGGTGGCGGACGTGCGGCGGCGCTTGTCAGTGTACGGCGGCGGCGGCCCGGCTGTCTGCGTTGCGGGGCTCGGGCCGCGGGGGCGCCGCTGGCGCCAGACAAGATGGAGGAGGCCGTGTTAGCGTCGTCGCGGGTGCTGGCGGCACCGGGCTGCTGCGGTCGGCGGTGCGCGCCGGCCCTGGGCGGCAGGTGGTAGTGGGGCGGGGGTCTGCTGGCCCGGTGCCGGCTGCGGCGCTGCCCCTCAGCAGGGCGGTGGGAGACTTGCGGCTGTGTGGTGGCCCCTTTCCTCCTGCCCAGCTAGGGAGGGGGATTTAGGGTGAAGAGCCGGCCCGGCGGTGCTGCCTCCTCACGGCGGTGCTGCGTCTGCAAGGGGCTGTGCTGGAGGGCAGGGGCCAGCGTGTTTCGGACCGGCGGCGTAAAGTCCGCGGCCGCCCTGGAGGTTACAGACTGAGCTGAAAGGAAGGGAGAGGGCAGAAACCCCTGCTCTGGCTTTTCAAGAAGAATCTTCTCTCGCTGTATGTTTCCTAAGCTTAAACCCTTAAAATTTGGTTACTCACGCGTTTGTTTATAGTTCCTTATTGCTTGGGTTTTTTTTTTTTAATTGTTTTAAAGGAAGGTCTTATCTCTGGGGCTTACAGGCGGTTTCAGGAGCACAACACTGCAATGTTTCAGTCATCAGCCACTGCAGGGGAGGGTTTAAATCCAAACAAAAACCTGGTTTCATTTTTAAAAAGAAAGCCAAAATAGGTTAACGGTTTTGTATGATCTTAAAATGTCTTAACAGCTTTAGTGTCGAAGGTATACTGTCCTTTGCTACAAGGTCAGAATCAGTAAAATAGATCTAAAAATTGAAGCCTCAGGCTTCTGGTCCTCCTCCATTTGGCATTAGTTTATGATTAAGGTATTTGCTGCTCTTACGTGTTTGTAGTGGCCAGCAAACATGATTTTCATTCTTTTTTCTTTTTTTTTTTTTTCCTAAGAATAAATCCTGTTTAGTAAGTGTTGTGAAATAAGTTCTCATTGTCTCTGAAGCTTTTAAAATAAATCCTTGATTTTGAAAGATGTTTCTCTGGGTAATTGTGATTTCGAAACATTGATGTGTTGTCTTTAGATAGTCCCTATGTTTGTTTGAAATAAAGTAAGTCTTATGAGGTAGAAAGAGTGAGCAGCTTTTTTTTTTTTTTTTTTTTACAGTTGCTTGCTTATTTTTGTTAAACATACAAAATCTCTAGAAAAGGATGCAAGTCAGACCTGCTTTGCAGAAGGTATCTGGAAGTACAGGAAGGTTTCACTAACATCATCTTGTGTTGGACAGGACTGCCTCTGGTAAAGGCAAAATGGCTTTCAGTAAAGGATACCGCATCTATCACAAGCTGGATCCACTTCCATTCAGTGTGATAGTGGAAGCCAGAAACAGAGAAGAATGTCTCATGTTTGAATCCGGAGCTGTGGCTGTCCTCTGTAAGTCGATATGTTTTGATAACTACCATGTAAGAAGTTGGCAGACGTGACATTGTGTAAGCTGTTTATTTATGGAATATAAAGAAGCAAGTATTCTATTTTCTTATTTGCTAATGAAGACGCTTCTGATTTAAATAAGAGGAAAAATAAAAAAGATGTTTTCATATCTCCATCTGTTAAGAGAAAATTTTACACTTCTAATTTCATTTCATCATGCACGTGTATTTTCATGTATACTAAATTTTCTTCTAATTGCTTCCAACAGTATCTGCTTATTTTTTTGGTTCTGAGCAACCTTTTCTGTTTTAGTACCTGGTAACTCATTGAAAAGCTAATTCTCTGTGTTGTATTTCATAATAAAAAATTCTCTATTCTTAAATGGTATATCATCTTAATTTGTTTTTTTTTTTTTGTCTCATTTTGTCTCATGATTTTTGATGGGTTTTTAATTTTTAGTTTTATTTTGTCCCTGTATTTTTAACCTATCTGGAGACTCTGTATTGATTTGTCTTGTAATAAAATGAGTAATATTTGGAGCAAGGTGTCTTGCATTGCAAAATTATTTTTACATGTTTTCAGTTATAAATACATTAAATGTTTCCCTTGGATCCTTTTTGCCCTCTTCCTCCCCCCCCCCCCCTTTTTTTTTTTAGTCATAATTGGAGGACACTAAAATGGGAAGTGCAGAAGAGATCATGGAGCCTATAGATAGGATTTAAAAATGTAGTTTGATTTATATTCTTTAGAAAGTCTGAGCACCTGGTTGCACAGGGTTAATGAACTTGGTTTTGACTCTTTTTATAGAAGGCTTTCATACTGTAGAAGTATTTCCTTTTTTTTTTTTCCTAAGGTCAATAGCTTTTTGATTAATTCATTCTGGTGCCTGTTTGTGGTTTTCTGGCTTAGCTATTCTGAGCACCCGATCAGAAAATGAGATATTTGATTCACTGCATGGAGTCTGAGTGGACTCAAATCCCTACCTTTCAAGAGGATGCTCTCTCTGGCTTTGAGACTGTAGAGTAGGCTGAATGGGGAGTGTGTTCTCTGACAAGACTCAGAGTTAGAAATGTAATTTCTAAAGAAACGTGAGACTTGAGATATGTTTCCTTTCTTCAGCATTTGCAATTAACTCTCCTCTGTGTGAGTTTGCTCCTTGGCAGTGGCATGGTCTCTGTGGCACCTGGTTGTCCCTGTGTAAGGTACTTCATGTTGGGCCACAGAATCATCTGTACTGGACAGGCTAAACGAACAAGTGCTGTCTAGCATGCAGCTTAATCTGTATCTTTAATGTGTGATTAGAGCAAGCTGCCATTAACTGCTAGAGGCCTAGCAGTGGGGCATGCCAGCATGGTTGACATTATAGCTGCAATTCAGTGATGATCCGATTGAAAAACAATGAGTGCTTTCCTCCTGTTTTTTTAGATTATTTTCTTTTTCTGATACAGTTTCTTCTTTCTATGTATGTAAGTAATCTCATTGACTTTGCCATCAGTATTTAAAAGGCATTATGTGGTGTGGATTGGGTTTGGAGTAACTGCCCAGTCATAAAGCTAGTGAACAGGTTTAGTGAAATCCCTAAAATGGGGAAAAATGCTTTGAAGATTTGTGGAAAACTTTATTTTAGCATATATTTAGTAAGTGCTGAACACACTGAAGCTACTTCAGGAGCAATGCATTAAAAACAGTTCACTCCTGAAAGTTACACTCAGAAAGGACAGTAGGTCGCTATTTCTGCTGTGATACACTGCAGGCACTTGATAAACTTCTCTGAAAATTAAAAAACGTATCAAAGTTCTTGCCCTCTTCTATGCCTCATGTTGTTACCAAACAGAGTAAGTAGACCTGAAACAAAGTTTGAAAGCCTCTCTCCTCTTTGGTTCTGTACTTAGTAATAGCATGTTAGTCTGTAAAGAGTTCTCCTTGGTATTCTAATTAGTAGGTTACGATACAGTAAACATTCATAGTTAGCTAGAAGTAGGTCCTCTGAATATTGTTTTCAGTAAGCTTAACCAGTAAACTGATAATTCCTGTCCGGTAAATGCGTGTATTTTCCCAGTGCATACTTAGCTGTGGCATTTTGCTTTGATTCCCTCTTTGCACCTAAACTCAGTAGATACTGAAACGTGATTTTTTTGTTAATGGTTGAAAGATCACAGTCATACCCTTGAACTGACAGCAGAAAAAGCACTAGGGTCCCATAGCTCAGAATTATTTTTCCTCTTTTTTTCTGCTTGCTGTTTGCTTCTCTTATTCTTTTTAAGACACGGTTAAAGGACTGCAATTATAAGTGCTTGGGGAAGATTTGTAAAGTGCTCGTCCATCTCTGTAATTGTGCCACAGAAAACAATCAGAAGATTCCAGTCTGTGGTCTTACAGAATTCTGGATATTGGTACAAATATAAGCTGAAGTTAATGCAAGTCTAACTGTAGGGGAAGATTTCCCAGATATTTGTAAAATCTGAGTGAATAGATAGAAAAATGGTCAGATCAAATATATATCAATTTAAATCCAGAATGACATCACTTTAAACTGTTAAAACCTCTTTTTTTTTTTTTGCTAATGCTTTGTAGACTACAAAAATTAACAGTACTGATCTCAAACTGTTAGACATTTTTCAAAATATTTTCATGAAGATAAAAATATTTTCATGAAGATAAAATAAGGTGTTCAGCCTTATTACCCTATCAGAGTTCTTACCTTGTGTAATATAGGCAGAACCTAGTGAAATATACTTTACTATTAAAAGTGATTCATGTGGCTCAGTTCTGCATCTTCTGGAGTATCCATGTATAGAAATTTGGATTTGAAAGGGGCTAAAAGAAAGGAGTGAAAGCTTACTGATCCTTTAAATGTCATCTTGGAGGAAGTACATCTGTCGTTTTGCTGAGGGAAGGATAACGGTATTAACCTTCATCCCCTTTACATGCAATGAAGCATTGCAGGATGATTCAGAGGATTTAGTTAGGCCTCTGTATGAAATGCTATACAACTCAAATGTTTGAGTGTGATTTTCAGCGCATGTTGTGCATGTACTGAAGCTGTTATTCAAGTTAACAGAATAAGATGGAAGAAAGGAAGAGGGTCAGAGGGATAGTTCACAGAGGTGGTTGTTGCATAATCACTCAGCCTTAATGTGGAAGCAGCCCAGCTCCTGCTGGAAGTTTTCTATGTGCTGCTTGTAATGTGGATTAGCTAATGCTAGTGTGACCAAACCATCTGAGAAATACTTTGCTTGCTTGTATACATTTGATACCTCGTTTGTTGACTCAGTCCTAGTATTGGATTAACCTAAGATACTGAAGTCTGAGAAGAACTTGCCAGCTTGTCTCTCAAGGCCTTTTGAGAGCACTTAGTTTTAAATGTCATCAGCTTTACTGCTGATTTGTATAGAATGTAGTGAGAGGATGGCATACATGTATTTTTTTCTTATTTGACATACAAAATAGACAGTATATTTATTTTTTGAGATAGGACTCCTTAATGAGATACCTTACCTGTAAAGGTTTAATTGACTGAGCAGGAGGTGATGTCTCTCCCTTTTCCTCTCTGGTGAGTCATAATGAAACAAGTGGGAAGCTGTCTTTACTCCTTTCGCATGCAATGAGTAAAGGAGAATTCTGTCATCTGGGAAAATACTGAGCCCTGAGTGGAGAGAGCAGGAGCTTTGTGCACATCCTTTGACTTGAATCCTATGGTAACGCTGAGAAGAGGGAAGGTGTGAACAAGAAGAGGCACTGTGCCCACCCTGAGCTTTCTGTAGATCTAGATAAATAGCTGTGATAAGAATCTGTGTGCAGCAGGCATCCTGGTATTCGTATTCATTCTTAGCAGTGCTACTCCACTACCCATCCACGTTTTCTTTTTGAAAGGAAAATCCTTCCACATTGCATTCTTGAAGGGGGGAAGCAGATATGCTAGTATCTATCTACAGGAGCAGATGGCATATAATAATTCTGCAAAACATTTTAAATTGATATGGTGCTTGATGAAACTTAGACACCTGAAGAAAAACATACTAACAGATACATTTGATGAGTACTTGCTATATGTACATTATTAAAGAGATATATATATCTATATATACACACTATATTCTGTGTTCTTACAAACAGAGGGTTTTTTCTTTGGTGTTTGCTGTCACCAGTAATAAGCTGTGACTGTCTGATTCTGCCCACACCCCTGATAATGTTTATACAGAGTTTTCAGTGGATCCACATCCACTTAACTAGGGAAGGAGAGAATTTCCAAATAATTCACTACATTCTGCTTTTTGTGATGGTATCCTATAACAGAAGCTTCATATAAATATTGTCCTGTTTTATATACATATATAAAGGTGCAATAACAAGAATTAAAATTCTTCAATCAATAATTTATCCTCTGGAAAGAGTGTCTCTATGTTAGACAAGAAAGATCAAATATGGGCTGAGGCAGAAGTAGTTTTTGAGTGTATTTTGATGTAGTACTGTATTAATCTGAAGCCAGTTTGAAGGGACTACAGTGCAAAAGTAGACAGCAGTTTCACCTTCCTGTCTTTATTACTGTTCTTACTAAATGTCATCTTCTGGACTATGCCTTCCTATTAAATAATATCTTAAAACACTTAAGCTGCAGGGAAGCAACAGCTATTGTGGGTGCCAAGGGCAGCTGTGCTGGTGAAGGAGGCTGTAATTGTCTTCCTGTCAGCAGGTGCTTTTCCTAGGATTCTGCTGGAATTCACTGTCCTTTCAAATCTACTGGAAAGACGTTCCACTCATTGCTTTCCAGGCATTTCCAACAAAATTGCAGTTTAACAAAGACCATGTATGCTAGCCTAGAACACACTGAAACATACAAGAAGTACAGTAAGAACCTTTGTAGAAGGTTGGTGGAGGCAGTAACTCTTGCCTGGGAGGACTGTGACCTCTTTGAATGGCGTGATGGATCTGCAAGAATTTGATTCACAGTTCTGGAAATACTAGGAAGTTATGACAGAATCTGAAGGCTTTTTTCATCTTAA